CTGGTTACGTTAGATAAATTCGAGAAGTTTGACTTGACGTAGATGACGTAGGTAATAGTTTCAGGGGCAAGACGAGGGAGGGGGGGGGCACGTAGAGGGATCCAGCAATCAACCCCTCTGATTCTGAGAAAGGAGGATGCTGTGTATAGTACGAGAAGGTGGTCCAGTCCGGGAGATGAATTTGTACGCCGGACCGAAATTGCCGGGATGCTGTGCCCTAATAGGGATTCACTCCGTGAGGTTTCAGAAACCCTTGGGACAATTGGGTTTTGTTACCCCTGGGGATCAGCGAAGGGGGTAGTAACACTGCTCTCCGACACTATTGCTCCTACGCTAGATAGGATTCGGTGTCGCGTACTTTAATTGGGCAACATCGCGGCTTTACGAACACGCCCGTATCCCTGGCACGTAAACAAGATGGCGCGTAACGTCGGATGGGTGGAGTTCCGTTATCACTGGGCGGAGAATCAATATCACAACCAGAGACGCATTCAACGCGTATCTACAGTTATTCCATGAGCCGAAGATCGATCGATCGATTTTAACGTCACAGTTAGTCCTCCCGATTACGATTGATAGTTTTGTTCAGTTTCAATGTTTTACTTTCCAGAAGAGCCAAAGAGAAGCGTCTTAAGAAGGATGCTGGCAGGACCAGGTGGTCCCAGTATTTTAGAAGTATGAAGGGTAACGGGGCTGGTGGCCATTCTCCCAGGCATGATAAACTCCTTGATAAGGATGATCTCAAGGTCGACCTCGATTCTACCTTCGGACACCATGGTACGTATATCGCAATACTAAAAGGTACACAATACAAGAATTTTACCTTGTCGTAATACGCTCCCCCGCGTACTTCCGCCGTTTTCAAGTGCTTGATGGCTTCTCAAATATTCAGGAGATTTCTCGGCTAACTGCCCGCCTGTCCGAGATTTTCAGGAGATTGGGCTTCACGTGATACTCCCGATTTTAGTGCCACCGAATCTCATTCGTCGCTACACGTACCTGGAATAAATGATAAATCATTATTGAATTAATATCGGAGTATACGAAATTTTTTTTGGAAATTTTAAACCCGAGGGACAAGATTAACTAGAAAATAATTTTTTTAGGAAAAAATATTTTTGTACACTATGTCGTAGACTTATATGGTATATGTAGAGGGGACCTGGAAATATACTGACCCAACAATGAGTAGCACGCGCATGAGATAACAGATCTGAATCAGATAATTTTTATGCTGATTAGACATGCATGTGTATACATAAATAGTATATATATAAATAGTATATACGTAACAGGCTGTAATGTAACGGGGCGTCCAGGCGTACAGAGATCAGGCTCGTGCCACACTAAACACTGTTTGGGCCTTATCTGGGTTCCGAATCGAGCAGATGATCCAAGTACTTATGTCAGCTTCGTAAGGGATAGTTTTCATAGACCCCCAGTCGAGCCACTTGGTGCAGTCACGCATATGTTCCACCGGATGCCAAGCTAATACTGGTCCGGTATGTTTATGAGTATTAAATACTAACAGTGTTGCTTTGTTTTGGACTCTTTACAGATTTGAGCAATGATAGCTACGGAACCGTGGTGAATATGGGTATGGACGGTGAGGGAGCGAGTCCTGGAGGTGGTGGTAACGGGGGTGCTCCTAACGGACCACCTCGTGGATACCTGGGTGCCACCACCCCACCTTATCTTTCAACGTCCAGATCGCCGTCCTTACCACCTCAATTTCCTTATCCGCCCGATACTGGACTCTCTGTCTATACGACGTTGGGTTAGTTTCTAATGTATAATTTTTAAAAGAGAGGGTAATGATATTGATATTTAAATTATAATTAAAGAAAAAAATGTATTTACTTCTAGGTGGTCCAGGTGGCATGGTACCGGGACCCGCCTCGGATCTCAGCAATGAGTCTAGTGGTGGCGGTGGCGGCGGTGGTGGTGGTGGCGGGAGTTATCCAGACTTTCCACCATCGCCCGACTCCTGGCTTGGTGAACCCCCATCGCATCCTCATCATCATCCACATTACGCCACATAACCCCCCCAATGTTGGAAAGGTACCCTCCGAATACCGTGAACGTAAAGATCAAGATTCAAAGAATCTTGTGATATTATATAGAAACACACGCAAACCGGACAACCATTTTCTTTTTTCTCTTTTTTTTTTTTTGTCAAATAGTATTTCCGATCTTTTATTTCCGTGTGATTCGTATCCAGTCGGCCATTATTTCTTTCGTTTATTTATGTCTCTTGTTCGTCACGTGACTTCAGCAAGAAGATTTAAAAGGACACAAAACCACAAACGGCTCTATTACTTACGACATTATTAATTATAAACGCGTACTATACATATTAATATTACGGCTAATATAGATATATTTATGTACAAGTTCCTTGTTTCACGTTACGATAGGATTTAACGGTAAAACTCAATAGAGGTTAGTGCGTCGCGGATGCCATCCCAGATGGCGGGCTCAACGGCGATCGAGTCTGCGACATTTGTCCACGGTTCGACGAGCTATTGTGAAACTGATGAAAATGAGTTCATCGTGGTACCAATAAATACACTAGGATAATGTTTTACGTACGTTAACTTTAAAATCAATGCATTCTTCTGAACGTCTCACGTAATGGTTGCCACAGCCATCTAAGTATCTCTTCACCAGTCGCAGCCTACGATCGGCGTCTTTAAGCCACGTTGTTTAACCTCGGCGAAGATCAACCGCGCTTGTGTGAACATGCAGCTAGGGATTACAGAAAGTTTCATATTGTAAATAGTTCAAATTAGACTCTATCATTGTACCTACGTGGCTATCGGAATTCTGTGACGCGTGAAGCTGATGTCGTCGTTGTTACACTGAAAAAAATACGACATTTCGGATTACTCGAAGAGTTAACAGCGGTGCGTACGTAATGAGTGTGAATAATAACGATATCGTACAGAGCTGCTGTACGTATAAAAACATCAATTACCATATTTGCGCCTGGTGTAAGAAAAAACAAATAAGTATGTAGAGACGCGAGGAATTTCGAAAAAAGATGACGGAATTTGGCACAAGAAAGGGAAAACGACGTACGTGAGTAAATCTTTAAGAAAATCTTGGATAGTCCAAAGCCGATCGAGTCGAAAGTAAAATGTCGAAATAGTACGGAATTTGCAATTCATGTAAAACGATAGATTTATATCAGAGAATAATGAAAATTGATAAGACATTGCAAACGAGTCGATTTGCTGACGGCAACCCAAGACTGCCGGGTGACATGTGGTTCGCAGTTTAACCAAAATCAGTTATTACGGATCTTTATATTATTATCTAGTCATCAAGTGATAATAAAAACTGATCATAATCAAACGCATCGTGTATTTTAATTGTAAGGTGTAACGACGACGAGTATAAATACTCTTATCATTCGATAATGAAAATTCATTTCAAGTATCAATGGCACTTTATTCGTTGTTATGTACAGATGAAAACGAATACATAGGAATTATATACACTCGTATAAATTTCTGGTTCGGTCCTTAGACAAAGATTGTGATCGAATCTCTAAGTAAAAAAAAGAAAAAAGTAATATGGAATTTCTAGAAATACCTTCTCTCTCTCTCTCTCTGTATATATATACAAATCTCACAATATACACCATCTGCCGTCCGCAAAAAAGTGAAGAATGAAGAGGAAAAAAAAAATTGACAAGTATGAAGGACGGATAATATCATCTTAGAAAGCACTCGATGATCTATAAGAAAATATGTTCTTGTTGCAATCATTACAATTATACAGACCTCTGCTAACATTATACATATGCATATATAAATTTGTGCATACATATATATAAAGTAAGGTCATTATACATTTACATAACAGTGTATAAACTCTCAGTCATCCCGATAAAAAGGGTATACGCTCAGTATGTGTACATGGGGAGTTGAGAAGAACAAGAATGAATAATTAACGGTATGGGAGAACGAGCTACCAATCTGTAAGAAATCAATGGCATCCTAACAAAGGTCCAAATTTCTCCAGTTATTGTTCTTGAACTGTCATTCTCAAATATTCTTATTTCTCAGTTCTCCAAGGGTTCCTCATAGGTTCTTGTCTTTTTCAGAATATTTTTTGTAATCATCAGTTGTTTCGTTATAGCCTTCTCAACATTCTTCTTGTTCTTATTCGAAGCTGACAGATGTTGAAATGTATCCTCCAAGGCTCGTCTAGTTTTGATCAGACGTCGTTTCAGGGCCTCGTTCTCCTGCTTCAGTACCTCCACTTCGTTCAGACCTGTACCAGTATGAATAAACTCATGTAAGTATATTGAAAAGTCAGGGCCGCAGGGGCTGAAGGCAGACAGGGATAGAAAAATAGTATTTCAAATAAAAGAAGAGCAATTTAGTAATAAGACCCTTTTCAATGCCTTCTTCCCACATATCGGTACTAAACATTCAAGGGCTAAAAAGCCATAGGTTACAACGGGACCTGAAAATGAAGTCTAAGCCAATACTGAAGAAGATGGAAAAGAAGAAAGTTAACGAAAAGAATATTAATTTATGACTTATTAGCACGACAACAGGCAATAATGAATCTAAGATGAAGGTTACATATGTGGTTCGTGCCAAAAGCAGAAATTTTAAACTCAACTGTTTTTGATACATACTATAATTAAGCCCACCTATAATCAACGAAACGTAATCAATTAATAAACTTAAGGTACTCCAATCTGATAACAAATATTTACTAATTTGACTCTATCTAAAATACAAAAATATACCTTCTATGGGTAGCGGGCTTTCACTGTCCAAATCTCGTAGAGTGCAATTGTTGCAGTTCTCATCGTCGCTCAGTAAATTTGTCATGGATTCTGTGATCTTGAGCGTGTCTTTGAGCGGCCTCGTGGTGGTAACAGCCGCGTCACTCTCGATACCCAGGTCTGGAGAACAACTGGACTTGCTACGTCCAGTTAACGTAGGATAATTTATTGGAAGCCAATACTGTGATCCCTGTTTGAAAAATATTCATTAATTCGGATGATTTTGATGTATTTAATGAATTCAACCCATTTAATACTTACATTATAGGAGTGATATTCTTGCATTATGTCGTCGCAAGTTTGCTTCACTGTCGCATCTGTTGGTGTTGATGATATGCCACTTGAACTCGGAGCAGAATCACTAGCTTCACAGACAACAACGTGTCTTCGTAATTCTTTGTTCACGACTTCCAGTTCTTGCATTCTTGCACGATTTGATTCGTTTATTTGATTGAGATCTGTTACCTAAAAAGAAAGATAGGATATATTGATGAATATATTCCATGCAGTAAAATTTACTAAGATAGATGGATGACTAAGAAAACTATAAACTATGACGTACCTCCTTACTAAATTTATCATGTACAGCACGAACGGCTAGATCGTATCTACTTTCCATTTTCCTGACTTCCTGCTCTAATCTTAACTTCTCATTGGTCAATTTAGTATTTTCTACAAGAATCTGACTATGAGATAAAGTTAAGTGATCCAGTTCTTTTGTGTACGTCGCAATACTTTTCTTGGCCGCTTCGTTCTCTTCTTCTAAACTTTTTATCTTAGTCCTTAACTGTAATATAAGTATTAATGAGATTTAATTGGTTCTAAAAATTAAAAACTATGAATTACTCTAACTAAAAGGAAAATTAATTACCGCATCATTTTCTCTATTCAATGTTATTAACATTTCTGCGGTTTTTCTCTCGGCGCTTTCTTTGTACTGAAGCAACTCAGTTTTCTGCTTTGTTACATCCGTCGCCATACTTTCAACATCAATTATCTTCTTTTCAAGCTGAGCTATTCGCATACTATTTTGTTTACTTTCACGCTTCAATGAGTGACATTCGTGTATCCGCCTCTCTAAGGAACACTGTAATTTCTCGCAGAATCTCTGTGACTTTTCTAATTTGTCAATTAGCGGTGTTAATTTATCGTCGAGTGTCTGAAAAAATATTTTACCAAGTTATGCTCACACGTTATTCCAATGTGTTATGCATCAAGTAAAGATAGAATAGTGGGATAAAACGTATCGGATGATAGAGACAAAAATAGACAACGGAAGCCGTAAAAATGAAACTGGGTTATGGGAGGGGAAGGAGGACAAGAAAATTGCTCCTCTCAGGATTGTGCAAGAAAGCCGTATCCAAACTTAGTTCCAATAAGAATTTAAAAAAAGAAGAGAAGCAAAAGAAATCTTACAGAGTCGTAGGAAGCCTTGTTTATTAGTTCTTTTCTTAAGGCACTCAATTCATCATAGAGTAGTTGATTAGTGTCCTTGAGTTCCTGAAGTTGATGACTCGCATCTCCGTCATTCAAATCATTCTGATATGTTTTATGATACGGAATATAATCCACAGAATCTTCAGAATCGCTAAAGGTCTTTGTATACTTGGAGAACCTGGGTCTGTTCAGAAGTTTTTGTTGAGTTTCCTGTAACAATCCGATCCTGGCCAAAGAGACGCTCCTGTCGGGTTCGGAATATCCTTCAGAATCGGATTGAGTCGATACCTGGTGTTTTCCCATGTTCAAAAGTTTCTCGGAATGACTCTTCTTGATGGAACCATCACATTTTTCCATGACTTTATCATTTAATTGAATTTCATTGGCAGACATGCCTTCAAGAACATGAACAAAGTCATTGGACAGAATCTTTGAACTGAGTAAAGCGTCCAGAACGATTCTCTGATGCTCGTTACTCAACGTATCTGATTGTCCGCCATTTCTTAACATTTCTTTCATGAACTTCATCAAGTCTTTAAGATGCATTCTTAAGAGTTCACAGTACTTCTTCGCACGTTCGCTTTCTGATACAGACTCATCAATCTCACGGGCTATTTCCGGGCTAGTCACTAATTTTAGCCACTTCAAATAATCCACTTCCTTTTCCAATTGATTCTTTTGAGTTACAAGTTTCTGCACGTAACTCGTCATAGTCTTTACATCAATGGGTTCACTTCCGTTGACGTAATTCAGTTGAATAACTTCGTTAGTAAACTTTACTTTGATTCCAATGTCATCCAATTCTTTTATAAGGTTTGTCAGCTGCGCGCTGGCACTTTCCTGAATAATGTCTGAACGATTTCGACTTCTATCATGACAGAGTGTAGCTGTCATGTGATTATGCATTTTCGCAATTTCTTTGTTTTTACTCCAGAGCTCAGTGTTCACTAATTTTTGCAAATTCTGTGTCTTTATTTGTAGCTCTTTAGTCAGCTGATCAATCCTTTGATTTTTCTCTTCGAGTTCAATATTTTTGAACGTCAGTTCTTGGCGCAATCTAATTTGATCCTCCGTACTACTAGATTCTGAATGATTAATCTTAATAGTAGCTTCCTGATAAGCCTCTTTCAAACTCTCCAACTCTATGGACTTTTCTCTTAATTCGTTCTTCATGCTGCTCCTTTCAGATTCAAGAATCTCTATCCTCTGCTGACGTTCTCGCAGCTGTTCCTGAACTTCCTGGAAGCCACGGAATAACAAACATATAAAATTATTTCAAATTCTTGCAAAAGACATCCCAAGTAAAGATAGATTATCAAGCAAATTGAAGTTACCTCTGATTCAATTTGAATCTGCTTCTCAAGTCTATTCTTCTCAGCCTTGATGATCTCAATCTGATCCCTGAGGTCGTTAATCTTGCTCTCCATTTCCTCGAATCGTCGCTGCACACAGAAAACAGAAAATATTGCGGCCGCCCAATGATACTCGCATAGACAAATCGTTAAAAGCACAGCCTTTATTCAGAAAGGTAGTCAATTACAAATTGTTATATAGTAAAAGACTATCGCAAGGATGAATATCGAGCCAAATATTGTATCGTTATTAATGAACAAAAAAGTATTATTTAACGCGATAAAGAATTTCTCGTTTCCTTGGGCCAACACTTCGGCGGCACGAGCGTGACTATGACCGGCTCCTAGAACGAACAATGTAATTCTTAGAGCAACGTAGAATTTCTAATTCGCTGAAATTTATCCACGCATTTTTTTAGTAAGAACTGTTCTCTCAATTGTCCAAAAGCAAGCCTATCGTATAATAAAAATGTATAAAAATACTTGGTTATAAAAATATTCCCACTTCTAAAATCGCAATCTTGAAACACGGTACGTCAAACTAGTCACAGGTTGTAAGTGGCGTACCTACCTCCATTCGTACAGAAGAAGCACAGAGACAGGAGAACATTTCTTACTTGATATTTAAAAATAAGTGCACTTAGCGATAAGCCACTATATCAAGATTAGCGAATAGTAATGAAGAGCAAGATAGCACTGTACAATGTACATTATTATGGCAATAGTGATATAAATGCGATATAAGAACACGAAGGAGGAAAGATAAAATAGCGGCTAGCCAGCAAGCTAACCCAGAAGAGTCTCACAACCTGAACTGAGAGAACGTGTTAGTTTTGGGGCGTCGCGACGTCGGTTCCTATTATTAGAGTCAGGCAGCGTCTTTTCGCGTCTATATCTATGTGTCTATACCCAGATTTCGTGCACTCCAAATTTGCTTCGTGCGATGCAAGCAATATTCCATAGTGATGTGTAGGAGAGCTTGTGAAGCTTGTAAAGAGCATTCCTGATATTATGTGAAGTGAGGAAAACAGAATAAGCAGCATTTCTCGCTTAATTTTAATGGCGGACGTGGCCATGCATAATTCGTACAATATATATATTCACGTCAAATCGTAACTATAATTTTGTTTTGAATGAACAAGCAGAGAGTAATCGATCTTGCGTGCTGTGCAGTTTTATAGATCATTGGAGACATTCCGCACTCTCATTGGGTCCAGACAGAATTACAATGCTGATGATGACGATGATGATGAATTTCTTTCTCTTATAAAATGATATTACAGCGCGTGAATTTCGAAGCAGAAAATCATGCAGTGATAGTAGCGTAAAGTGCAGAAGAAGAAGATAGAAGAGAAGAAGAGTAGTGTAGGTCAGTTATTCTGAAAGAAAGAAATTAAAGTAAAGCGATGCTCTAGTCTACGCAAGCAGTGCTTTTTTTAGAAGTAAAAAGATGAAGCTCCCTAGGGAATATCAACCTGGCTGCTGCACTGGTCACGCTCCGGATTCTCCGTCATGTCGTTGCTGATGTTCCTTCGTACACTTCTGACTTTTGACCCTCCTGAATATGAACCGTCCAAACTTCTTAGTCTGTTAAGTTCCACTTCCAATTCCATTATCTTTCTGTCCTTCTTAACTTGCATATCCTCTAGATGCTCCTGGCGCTCCATGAAGCCCTGGATCATCTTTAGAGCTTTCTCATGCTCCGCCTCCAATTTCTTTCTCCTTTGTTCAGTGGACTCAGCCGACTTTTGTGTATTGCACAATTTTAGGATCAACTGTTTCTTTGCTTCTTCCTGTCGCTTCAGTTCTCGTTCGCGATCCTCCAGATCCTGAAGTTGACAAATTGCTTGTAAACAATTACCTAAGTTTGAAATGATAAAAACAAAATCGCTAAAGTGTACCTTAGACAATTCTTTAAGTTCTTTGGATTCAGAATACGCAGTCTGTGAGACCCTTAAAGATCTTTCTCTGTTTGGTTCCCAATCCAACGGACAGGTCTTCGGCGGGCTGTTGAAACAGGATGACCTCTGACCCATTCTAGGCGACTGCGAGTCTTCGACGGAGTTTAACGTCGATGGGCTACAAGGAGGCGAGTAACGTCTGGTGTTGCTATTTTCAAACTGAAACATAGCAGGATAATATTAACTTTCTCCTAAAATCAAATAAGTACAAGAAAAATACGGTACAGCTGAAATAATAAGTGACATATTCAAAGAAGATTGAAGTTTCTCATTTTGAGCAATTACCTGAGACAAAAGTGTGCGATGCTTGTTGTTGAGATCTGTAAGTGCATCGTCCCTTGACTTTACGGAAATTCTCAGCTGATCAACTTGCTTCTTCCTCTTCTCAGAAACAGCAACAAGATCTTCATATGCTCTGATCTTCTCTTCAAGGAGGCTGTTCTTCTCGCGAATGATCCTCTCCTTCTCGGCCAGGTCGTTTCTATACTGCTGGACAATGCTTTCTTTTTTAAAGGATTGATCTTCCAAATCCCTAACTTTCTCTCGTAGATTATCTATTTCTTTGTCTCTTTCGATTGTCAAAGTCTCACGTAGTTTGATCTCGCTCGTTAAACGCTCCTTCAACTGATCCCTCTCGCTCTCCAATTCTAATGCCCAATTTCTCTCCTCCTCGAGACTCCCTGTAATCTGCTTTACCTAAAACCACCAAAAGCAATACTCATTACGAACGGAATGCTCACGGAGACACTGAAGATTGTCGCACAAAATCCACAGTATTGCTTGCCCTCCGTTATCAGCCGTGAACCCACATTATCTTACGTAAATACAGGGGCAAGAATATTGTTGCGTACCAGAAAATATTTAATTTCCAAACTTCACTGATATTCGTTTCAAATGCCCAAGGATGGAAATGAAGGAAGAGAATGTCAATCGTATAGAAAATAACCAAAGAAAAATACTACACTCGAGATAAGATAAGTCGTTATATCATTTAACATTATCTAATATCCATGCTACAAGTTTCTATTGTTTTCAATAAACATCCATGGATTCAAAAAGTCCAGAACATATTTTCACCAACCTCCATAGTTTAAATAAATAAAACTCACAATGCACAACTACCACGAGGATTCGACTACTGGCAGTGAACAGCAAGTTCAACTACCAGCTGCCATATCCAGTTAGCAGTTCAAGCTGTAGTTTCCTGTTCGAAAAGGAAGTGCACGTAATCAGAGTAGATAGTCTGATAGAAGTCTCATATTTCCCGGTCCGCATACGTGCTGTATGAACTTTTATCATGAAAAAAAGTGCGTTGATACCAATAGAATAATTCGCGTCGACCGTTAAATATCATGAATAGATGAAATGTATTTATAATGAATAAAAAAAATAATACAATCCAAGATGACTCTTACCTCGGCCTCAAGAGACGCTACCAACTCTTCCATCTGGTGTAATTTTTCTTCATTCTCCAGTGCTTTCTCAGGCGTTATACCAAAAGTCTCTTTGTAGTATGTTGAACTGTCCATCACTTTCTCTTTGTACTCTTCCAGTTCTAATCAGAGTTCACGGGGTTAACGAATAGCGATTGGCGGGAACGACGCATGTGTTTAAAATATAGCATAACATATGTATCACACGATATCCTCACGTACCCTTCTCAAGTTGCGCTATCCTCTCACGTTCAGTTTCAAGCGATTGCTGATATTGTGCCTGGTTGCGCGACGACACTTCCTTCTGCTCTTCAATAAGCTCAAAAGCTTTAGCCGCCTGACTGAGAAGTTCCTGCTTCTCGATTACTTCCTTCCGCAAGGATTCCACTTCCACCTGAAGAGATCGATCCACATGATACATTTATAAGGATAGGAGACATTGGCTTTAGTTAAATTAATTTTTTTCTTCTATACCTTAAGCTCAATATTCTTCTTGACAGCACCTTCATCCGCCGAAGTAATACCCATTCTCTCTTCCAGAAAATATATTCGAAGTTTGAGATTGAAGTTTTCCTTCTTCAAGGCTTCCAACTGATCCTCGTATTCCTTCATGGTTCTACCCCCGGCTCCGATTCCGGGTACACCCCCAATGGCCCCAGTGGGGGATGTCTTGCCAGGTGACCTCACGTGCGTACCTAATAACAGATTAACCAGTTAAATACAAATGAGTAAATTTTCTTGAAAACTCGACAAGCATCCTAAATTCTAAAGTCTATACACATTTTGCAAGCTTACTGTTCATTAGGGAAACGGATAAACGCGAGTCACCGCATCCCCAGGAACCAACACCTCGAATTTACTACACCTAAAGGCCCCAGGAATAGACTTCTGCCGCTCACGTGGCAAACATGGTCCACGGTAAACGCAACCAGAACAATTCGGTCTTCACATTGAGATTAACGTTTTGTTTTCGAAACAAACGAGAGAGCAACAGCTGACCATTAGTATCTGTTTTCGAATCTTTCGAATTTTACTCTCGAATTTTCGTAGCGGCTACTGACAACGAAATATCTATTTTACGTTCTAGATTCTTCTTAACGGCCGCATATGATTTTACCATTCTCAAAGACTCTGGAATACGTGTCCCAGGCAAAGGTGGATACTCTGCTGAACGAAGGACGAGGTCGAGGATAAGGAAGATTCGCAAGAGCAGCAATGATCCAATCAAGCAGGTCAACCAACCGTAGTGGTAAGACGAGTGACGACCATTTATACAATCAAGTCGAGAATTCTTGAAGAGACCTTATCTTATTCTCAATTACCTTTCAGACGCTGAATGAAACTATCTCGACGTCAAACCGCGTGTGGGTTCATTATTAACGAGTTAATTTTCCAATGGAAACATACACATAAAGATATCCCTACCCAGCATCACTTCAATCCTGATGGGTTTGTCTGCCAATTCGCTCAAGTAATCCAGCCTGGATCTACTGCATCCCATAAGGACACGTCAAATGAATATTCCTCACATTTTCGTTTGTCGAGGATAAAGGATCTCACTTGAAGTTACACGAAAATGAAGATGCTCATGGACCACGCGACTGCTCGAGGACTGTTTTTGCACTGTGCCCAATAAAAGCCAGCCAACCGTAGATGCATTGCAATAATGCGTTTCAGCGCTGTTAAAATTATATCCGCTCGACAAGCTCTTGAACAATGTTTCTTAAAGTATATCTGTATATCGACTTGAAGGCTATAGCAAGAAATCTATATCCGATATATATACCAAGAAATTGCTCGAGTGTAAACTGCCGAGGATTCTCTTTCATTTTACTCAAGATTCCTCGTACTCGTCCCCCCGTACGCAACAGGTCCATACGAGAGATATAATAAAATACATAATTAAAAGGTCTGACAATTTAAAATCCCCGGATCACCAGAGCAAAAGTGAATCTTCACCGGACTACCCTCGTAGTGCTAACGAAATGGTTTTGCTCATTTGTTTTCCATGCGATGGCACGGCCCTGAGCAACTGCCGCATATAGCTGAGAGAATTTCGTGCCAAGTGAAAAGATGCGTCTTGGTCCATCTGTCGTTGTAAAATATTTAAAAGAAAAACATTGCCAGGGACTCGTTCCATAAGAATTTCTTACAGTGTTTTCATTACAATTCGTAATCATCTTTGCCAAGTTGAGCGTGATAGATTTTAATATCTTTGACTTCCCAGTACACTCGAACCTCTTGTTCTAAGGTTTGCCATGAGTTCACAATGAATTTCTTGTGTTCCAGGTCGACGTACCACACGGATCGTGATGCTCAGACCCTGTGGTCGCTCTGTTGAAAACTCATATGAGTCACTATACCGTGTGTCCGAGGTTCACTGCTGCATCATATTGACTCGTGGCACCGCTTCGCGTTCGGGAGCTCAGCTTTGTATTTATAGATGACACATTTAAGCCAGAAAGCTTCGAACTATCTTTATGTCGCCAAGATGCAACGCCAAGTCTCGAGCTCTTGCAATTAGGACGTCTAATTGTACTTGCAACTGGACCGTAAGAGAGACCGATAGTCTGCTGCCTTATTCGCGAATATTAGCTGTCCCTGTGCCAAAATTAGGTTCACACTGCGTACATTGAATTATAGTAAAATTCTTAAGTGACAATTGTCATTGGTAAATTTAATTGTTTATTGATTTTTTTAGTTCGACTAAAATGGTCCAGGGGAATCTAGCGCATGGACCACAATTTCGGCACCGTGGGCATCGGGACGCTACGAAAATAAATGCGTCGCGACGTCCTCCAGCTTTAATAAGCCAAGCGGACCCTCTGTGTCGTCTACTTCCTGTAATCCGAGATACGCTGGATGGATTTTGACAGGCTTGGTCATCGTGATTGGGACTTGAGTTTTACGGGGGAAAAAAAGGTTACGCTCGTAACGTGAGAAAATACAGTGAAGATAAGAAAAGTAAAATGAGTCAAACTCGTTTGGCAATAACGACCACGAACAGACAGCCGCAACGAGATAAGTCACAGATATATTGTAACGCGTGTCGATCATCGCTTGGATCTTCATAATTTTATTATTCCGGCGACAAGTAATTTTTTTTAATTTATTTCTTTAATTATTTACATAAAACCGCCGGCCAATAGGTCTCAGACAGTAGTGCCATTCTCGTTTCAAATTTCCAGATTTTTTTTCGTAAAATTGTGAAAAAAAAAAAAAGCTAATGTCATGTACAAGCTGCACAAGCATCTTCATCGCGGTTAACAAGGACGATCGAGTCGTTAAATCCCGGAAGAAGTCTCTGCCAAAATCCATGCCAAAAGCATCGAAGCTGTTCTGGGATTTTGCAGTAAGCGCCAAGAAGCATTTACCCCTTCGAGCTAGTAAATTAAGACGACCCGGGGCAAGTTCGTTGCCCGCGCAATTTGAACAGACACTATTATTTCCAAGCGTTTACATTGGCTTCACAATGGCCACGTTTATCGCGTGCCTTCTATGTCGGAGGCTGGCTTGAGGCCTTAAAAACAAGATGTCGAAACAGCGTTTCGCTGCGAAATCAAGAAACAATGACTAAGTCATAATATCTTTTTCTCTATTTCTCTTTATACGTCGGATCTAGCTGGTCTAGCTTCGTGTAAATATAGACGAGCTGCCCTAATGTTTGTTTTAACGCCCCTGCCGGCATCCCAACTGAGTTTCCTAGAAATCCTACTTAATTTTACAGTGGGACGGATAAGGATAAGAATAATAACAATTACGAATAAGGAATATTATCGATACGTACTATCTGAGAGGGACGAAAGATTGTCCAACGTTCCATGGTAGGATTAGATAAGAATTAAAGAAAAAAAAAAAGTCGAAAATATTACATGTAAAATATTTACGTACAGCGTAGTAAATATTGCGACGACACCACGTGGCTCGAACTTTCGCATGTAAATCGTGATGTTTGTGCCAAGAGTATCCGCGACCAAAAATAACCAGAAATTTAAGTGTATTTTCGCAATAACCCAGACGCGTCCGTTCGGCCCTAACGTGACATAATCTGATCGACTTGAAAATAGTCTGGTTTAAAGTTCTAGAAGGACGTCACATCCGATCAGCCTTCAAACTATTGTTAAAAAGAGACACGGCGCTTTGAAAGTACAGCAATATATATATATATATATATATATATATATATATATATATATGTTGCTGAATCGTTTTATCGCTTCTCCACACGATATCCGTCAGAGACGGTTTCATTGGTCGGTCAATTGGTTCGGAAATGAGCAATAACGAAGGCGAAGCGAGGGGTTGCTTCCGTCATTGTCATAACTATCAGTAACCAATTACTTAGACAATAAGCCAATCAGTCTTCACAGCTGATGAATCTTATGATCATCACTCATGTAATGTTGATATTGATCTTATTCGTTTCGTTTCGTAGGCTACTCTTATATACACAGGTAATCAGGTTAAGGTGCGGATAGGCAATTGAACCCTATGCCAATTGCTAGGGTGACAATTGAGTTTTGTGATGAAAAAAAAAAAGTGAAAATCCAATATTGACAAAGTCACTTCACTCACCATGGAGCAGTGGAAGCGTCTGGCTCATTGTGATGTCCGGTAAGGGTGTGTTGGTGCTGTAACATAAAACGAAGGAGACAAAGTCTTTAGAAATCATTAAACGGATGCGAGGGCAAGATGAGTTTTAAACAGTGAGAAGAAAAAAGTGGTGGTAAGAAAGAGGGACAGGAAACAGCATCCTCGTGTTTTCAATGCTGGAAATAGTTGGACGCCGCAAAAACCGAGTTCAAAGTCGCCCTGTTCTTGGAAGGGTGTAAAGGCAAAAGGGCTCGACCATGTCGAAAGGGTTAATGACGTGTAACTTCCATGTGGGAAAGAAATGATTTAGCAGACATAAAAAAAGAGATCGATCCATATCAATTAACACAGCATCCACAGATTCAGTGTCTATCTAATCTCAGAGCTCGATACAGCTATCTCTGGCACGTTATGCAACGCTGATTGAATATTAAACCTAATATTATTTTGGCACAGATTCCAAACGAAAATTTTAACGTAAGAACATGGAACGCATAAAACGTACAATTCATAGCGTTATAAAACACACTGGCAATACTTAAAACATTGTGGAATAAGCATACCCGTTGTCTCCTTCAGGTACCATGGTGCGATCTCCGCACCTGTTACCGTTTCTAGATTAATAAAAAAAAAAGTACCTAATGGCATAATAATTTTATAACGGGTGTGCTCATTGGACGACAAATTTGCCATTTCTTTCGTTAATTTCTTTCCGCCATTTTGCGGAAAGAACGGAGAACGTATTAGGAACGGAGCGCGCATGCGCGGTACGTGCCTTTCGTTCACGCTCGAACGAGGCCTCGTCGTTTCACGCTTAAATTTGCCGCCCTTTCTTTACCACCTTAACACGTATCTTTTTATTCCACAGCAAACACCGGCTCGCGCGAAACCCCCCACTGTCGATTTTTATAACATTAACAGAAATTACCCAACGTTCTTTATGGGTATAAATGGGGTTTGACAAACCGTCATACAATCAGTCTGGTTTGCCACTAGCAAAGTGAAGGAGGTATTCGCTAAAGTACAATGGCTTTCAAGGTATGAAAAATCCAACGTTCATCGGCTTATATATTTTCAAAATTAATATATTTTTTTTCCAGATTATCCTAGCCCTAGCTCTTGTAGCTATCGCGACTGGAGGTACCTCTGCCCACAAGGCACATTCCTTCCAGCATTACCATGGACCGGTACATGGACACGATCAAGAAATAAGCTGGAAGGACAAGCATGGACACCATCACCACGATTACGTAGCTGAACCCCATTACAAATTTTCATACGGTGTCGAGGATCACCATACTAAGGATTTCCATGGAGCGCACGAGCACCATGATGGTAAAAATAAATATCACCTGTACACGAATCTCGTCCAAAGAGACAAACTGAAAGAATCCCCATAGGTCACTGGTTCAATGTTAAAGATATTTTTATTTTCCATCCCATAGGAAAACACGTCACTGGCGAATACTCCCTTCACGAGCCCGGCGGCAACATCAGAACTGTCAAATACCACGTGGATAAGCATGGTTTCCATCCCGTTGTACACAACAGTGGCGGTATTGATCATCATCATTAAGTGTCACGCCAACTGACCATTGACCATTCAAGAATTTACTATGTTACGCATTGCTATTGACGAACATCGTTGCTAACCCGAGCTTGGGATTTATGTTTGAAGTTTATTAAATCGTTATACTATTACGTAAGATCGTTGACAAATATTTGACATAGACAAAAAATAATAAAGTTGAGTGACTTAAAGAAACTATACTACAGATAAACTCTTTCTTGGCTATAAATTTTAAGAATACTTCAACTCACGTGTTATCGTCACATGTGCCAGACAATTTCATATCGGTAATCCTACTTTAGCTTTTTCTGGATGACTTAAGATAAACCCACATAATGATTACGTGACATCTGGTTGCCATACAACGCTGGTCCCATATGCGTATTTTTACGCTGTTAACGTCCGAACCTCCTCAAGATGGACCCTGTGTCTCATATTCGTTATGACACTCCTTCCTGGTTGGGGTGTGGTTCTTATAATTGTGACGTATGGCGACAATATCTTCAGAATCGTATACCTCTCTTAAATAAGGTTCGGATACATGGACTAAACCATATGATAAATGTAACTAATTTGTGATTCTAACGTGGTAGCTGTCAAGATGGGGTCGATAATTCAGATTCCTATAGGATAATTTATTTTGTTATATACAAATGTAAACATAAAGAGTCTGGAAGGCATGTGGTGGAGTGCGCTTGATTTTACACTCAAGAAATACGACTTGAGAGCGAAAGGACATGACTAAGGAACATAGGGAAAAAAAATAGTAACCATACAAATAGTCTGCGCAGCGTCTGAACTGCGTGTAAAAAAGGAAGAATGGATTCTCTTCATTTTTTTCCCAGACTCCACGATGGAAATAGCAAACTTCGTGTGGTCGTCGTGAGCGCTTGCGAATTTGACTTCAGCGTCGAAAGGACAAGTTGTCGCTGAATCAGAAGAATTGAATGTCAAGTGAATACACGTGGTCCCGGTGTAATGGGTAAAAATGTGAAAAATTTATCCACCGCCAAAAAGAAGTTGACTGGAAGAATGCGAAAAATGTTAATTGTCACGTTAACAACGTACCCTGACTTCGAGTCAAGAGTGTGACTATCGGTACAAAGCACCAAGCTGGTAAATTTTAGTACGAGATCCGATACGAGAATTCGTGGGTTACGAAATCGGGTAACCCCGGAAATCTGGAAATGCGTTGACAGAGTATCAGGGAGCTAAAACAGAAAGGCAAAGCCACGCGTGTAGGGGTGCACGTAAATAGGCATGCGTGGACGGTGTGTACGTTTTGTGAACGACGGACGATTTTCAAGAGAAGCTCAGGAAGTTAAGGGCGAGTTCCGTGAAGAGAAAGGGAACCGACAAGAAGCTCAGGAAGAGCGAAGAGACTACTGGGACGACAGAAGCGACTATGGAAAATAGAGAAAAAGCAGACGTAATTTGTTTCCAAGGAAGACAACTCGCGCGTACCTGGTCTTCACCGCGTGAAGTATCGTCGTATAACCCCGACCAATCCCGATGCAGAGTTCTCGGAATCTTCGCGCGGGCTTATTTAGATGATCCAAAGGGATAAAAAAGCTCGCGAGAGCAGCGCCTCTACAGTCGGCCGAAATAGAATCAAAGACTGACAGATGCAGCGAGAATACCGATTCTGCCTCTGTCCTCTTTGGTTGATACTTTTTTTTTTAAATCTTAATCCTAGTACTTTCTTAACAACCCTCTATAAGCCCACGCTCCATCAATCGCTTTGGTCGCGGAACACATTGGTTAGTGCGTCAATTGCAAGGATGAGTAATCGTGGACGTACGATGGACCACGGAAAACAATGTGCAGTAAAATACTTAAAAATGTAAACTGACGTTGAATTTTAGGAGGAATATTTTCTTTTACATCTTTCACGTATAACAAAGTCACGTGAGAATTGATGTGGATCAGTTGGCTCAGCGATGAAGAATTAAAAATACCAAAACATGGTGAAACAGAAGATACGCCTTTGGGATAGAGAAAACGAAGAAGCAAGCGGACGAGGTACACGTGTCCGGGGTCCCTATAGGGTGCGAGAAAGTCCCCTAAAAATAGTCCCCTAATTGCACCCCCGTCTTCAAGAACGACACTGTATCCTTTCCACCCGTGACGTTTTATTCACAATTTATCACAGGGTGGTCAGACGGTTGAGAATCGAGTGAGACTCAAAAAAGATAATAAACCAGTATCATCTTGATGAACGTAGGTGTCATCAAATGATGGCCGTGCAACGCCGAAAATTAGTCAATTATATACGTTCTCGGTGGCCAGGCTTGAAAAACCTAGAAGGTTGTATCAATCGTGAATGGTCACCAGGACCGATCAAGGATGTGATAAATCATTTAAGTCATACGTGAAAATTAGGCGTGTATCCTTCGAACGAAATAATAAAAACTATCAACAATCTTATCATCGTGTGCAACGTGCATCCGACGTGATGCGTTTCACGCTGCGGCGAGTATAAAGAGGGTGTAGGTTCTACGGTTGACCCAAACCTGACGTCACTGGCAAGATGGGGGATGCTGCAAGCAATCAATAACCGCCGTAGCCAGCAGAGTAGCGAAGCCCGTATTTTTCTGATACGTCAGGATTAGAGGAAATTAAAATTGTAGTAAAAAACAAAATTTGCTTCTCTCATTGCGTTCGTTAGCCACGTGCATTCAGTGACGAGAAACGCTGTATTAAAATACAAAGTAACTATTCGTCGCCGTCGATACGGTACTGGGCTTCTATATGCCTGAATTAAAAATACACGAGAGTTCTACGTTAGGATACGTACTTATCGTTAGGGCCAAGGCTTAGAATGGTAAATACAGTAAAGCTGGTAAAACCTATGGTTAGTATTACCAGGCAAGATTATATAGTGAATTCGTGGAAGGGCTTGCAAGAGTGTAAACCCAGGGAAGATATGGCGTACGTGAGTACACATATGATTCAGATAGTAAACAGATCAAAAGGGCGGCTTACGTTCGAAATGATAAGGGCTAAGAATGCAGATTAATTTACAGGAGAAATTGGAAACGAATTCCAGGTCGATGAGAGAAACCGATAATGTTATCGGTAAGCTTGGATTCTTGTAGATTAAGAAAAACGGCATGGCCACCTTAAAAAAAAATAATATGTTTATTGATCATCGAGTGGGTGAATAGCATTTATTATTATGCAAGTGAAAACATGGACAAACGTAAACCAAGTGGTACCAGCAGAGCCATCCATTCTGAACGTACAGAGTTTCATCAATTAACAGGACGCTAAGTGAATTAACTGGTAGTTAAACTGTTTAAACAATTAGTTCCTCTTTGTTGGCTTTGTTTACTGCGCTCATTCGCTGTATCGCATATGCATGCACGTGGGAGTTCCGTAGGCGAACACTTTTTTTCACATATATGCACTCGTCTAATAAGGTCATCGTCCAATGACGTTACTGTAATTATGAAATATAATTGAATCCTAGGGAATTTCTTTTCTTCTGTTGCTTACCTCTTAAAGGGACTATATGCACTGCCCCAAACGCTCGTACGTGTTGGCGAAGCAGGATTATTTTGACTCTGTCCAGAATATCCGTATCCGCCGAAAAACATTTTGACGTCTTTTCAAACTTCCCGCCAAATGTACAATGCAACCTTACACTAAAAGAAAAACTTAATACTGTGTACACTTGTAACAATTAAACACTTTGGCACTGTCAACATCCGTACTAAACACAAGTACGAATCAATGAAGGAACAAAAGTTGTCCTTGACTTATTGCGAATGTACTTTTCGATATGTCTTTATGATTTCTTTGAACCGGTCACTTTTTCAAAATGTCTACCTGTCAAACTGGCTTCAATAGCACTGGGACACGTGCACGTGAAAATTGTTTTCCATTCGTAATAGCCACTGCGCACATGTGTTCTGGACCGATCAATTCAGATAACTCTCGTTTAAGATGAAACCAGATGATATCACACGTACACTAGAAGCGTAAGCTTATCTTTTATAAAATGTATATACACATTGTATATATATATATATACATACAGAAATTACGATTAAACGTACGTTGCAAATCAGTCTCTTCTATCAAACCGATATAGTCCTTGCGTGTGTAGATTCCTTAAACGTATCCGTATATAGTCGGGCAATGCAGTTTGCGCAATTTCAGCACATATACGATATACGTGGATACGCAACGGTCACTCACAGTCACTCCCGTAAATATTACACAGGATTGTCAAAAGATTTAGAACATCATTCGTTCCGCAACTTATCCTTTTTCACCATTTTCTTCAAGAAAAATAATCTTTTCTTAACACATGGTCTAGACAGTCCCATTGTAATATCAAGCGTATAGACAAATCCGAGTAAAAAAAAAAGGAAATGCCAATCTCGCCGTTGAGCGTCGCGACGCCTCGTAACTTGAGACGTGAGAAAACAAAAGGAGAATAGGCCGATTCGATTTTGCCAATAGATTTTTTGGACACTTTTCAAGTATTTTTAGCCGCGTGGAAAAAAACGGGAGTTCCAAGCTGCTTGACGGACTTGGGACGACTAGCGGCTGCTGCGTGGGTAACCCGGCTTTGCTTTGCCAGAGATTTACTATGGCGTCCGTTAGGGGATGGAAGAGTCTCCTGAAGAGAGGGGTAGAGACGAGAGGGCGTGGAGGTATAAAAGCGAAATAGTATAAGACGTACGTAGAGGGGGGCCAGGCTCACATAAAGCCGAAACGGGGCACACAAGCATCGATCAGGGGGTCAGTGTTTCTCAACTTTAGAGCTGTTAATACTGAAAAAAATGACATTGTGAAGTGTAAATAAAAATTACGAAAAATAAGGGATTGTCTTTAGTAAAATAAGTTTGCCTGAAACGTGATTAATTGGAAGACATTTTTCTACTTAAATTTGTTAACGTCAAGCCGACGATGCTTTCCATTATTCTTGACGCAGTCGTATGGCGATCTTATAGGCAATGACTGCAGCTACTACGCTGCATAACCCTTGACCTCGCTGAAGTAGATAGGACGTTAAAGCAAACAGTAAGTCACGACTAGTCACCACAGAAAACGATAGCGCTAAAATAGCATTAATGTCTGTCATGTTTATCGATATCACTGCGAGTTGTTCACGCTTTACTATTACTAGGAGACTAAACACTTTAGCAGGATTCTAAATTGGTTCAGTTTTGTTCTTTGTACCCTAAGGTAATTCCAGTTACAGGTATAAAGTATAACTGTGTACACTCTTAACATTTTCCAAGGGGATTTTATAACTGTACTATTCCCTTATTGTAGTTTAATGCTAGTGAGTGTCATTGTGTTAGGAATATTAATGATTTCTATTCATTAGTCCGCATTCGATATTCAGCTTGGGCAATCATGTGGGACGCAGATTGTTTTTCTTTTCGTTTAAAAAAAAGCACGTGTCACGCACGTGTTGAACTTTTCCGGATGTCAAGCGGAATTTCATGGTGACTCTGGTGGTCCATAAACTAATGTTTTGTGATCATTTTGTTTCCTGTCTCTTATCACACTTGAGTATTTACCCATTTTGATATTTCGTTATAAAGTCATAAGTTAATTATATAACTTACTGAATTCATAAATAGTAAAGCAAGGTACAAAACCTTTTTGAACAAGTACACGAGTCCTTGCAATAAAATATTATAGTTTTACAGTAGTAATTATATATATATACTTAGTCCGTTATTATCATTGACTGTATAAATGAACGTGCACGAATGCACGTGAAATATTGGAGAATAATATACGACGAGAATGCAACATAATTATTTTTAGCACAATACAAGAAATTCTCAAGTTCAGGTAATTTCGTCAACCTTTCTTATGATATTTCTGAACAAGTTCATTCTGTTATATTAATGGCCAAATTTCCCGGGTATTAGTGGTATTAACCTTTACTGGGCAAACGTAGTATAGGTACACCAACGTGAGAAACATACGATTAGATTATTAGCGCTTAAAATACTCTGTACGCTAAAGGTTAAAGGAGGATATCTCCTGAATATAAACGCTGACAATTGATGGAGGTCCTATAAAAAAGTGGTAACTACATGGGAAGGGTTAAAATAACGGTAAAATGTATCTTACATGTCATAGTAGTTGACCGACATCATTGTGTCGTCCGGGAAATCCACCATTGTTTTACGATTCTTAAAAGCGACCAAGTATTACAATACAAAACTTATAATCCCATTAATAATTTCGGAGCACCTCACGTCACGTAAAATTTCACCGTGTTTCTAGTGTAAACCGTCAACAGTTTAAACTATGTTTCACGATGCTGCCGCACCGCGCGCTAGTTTGAACTGTACCTGATTGGTCAACCAGTAGTAGGCTTGTACAGTGCAGCAAATTCCCTAGTTATTGTAAAAGAAAAATACTATATTTACCGCGTCAAAACTGTGATCACTGTTAGGTGTCACTTGACTCATCTGTTTGAGGCTTCTCAAAGAATTTTGAATAATTACTATTTGATCAAGAATTAATTAAGAATATAAGTATAATCAAAGAAAAAATATTGATTATATGGTTATAATCTCAACGATGTCCATAGCAATGGGCTTCCTATACTCGGGGACTCGATTATGAATTTTTATTTTTGTAAAATTACGAAAAGTCAATGATTGTAAGTCAATGACACGATGAAATCTAAAGAAAGTGAATAAAAAGATTGACCAATAATTTTTCACTTTTCGAGTTTCATCAAATGGAAGCCCATAATCCAGCCATTGAAAGTACTCAGAATCGTATTGGAATTTGTTCCAGACTTGCAAATGTCCCTAGATATTGACACTTGGATTTGGTCAGAATGTAGGAACTCCAAAGATATTTATGAAAGTTGAAATTCTCGTTACACATAATGCAAGAATCTGTGAGAACGGCAGCCCAATTAACACTTGGCTTGATGATCTTCGGCCTGAGTAACGTTTTAGCTTTCAGTCTGATCTACGTCATAGTGTGGTTATTACTGATTCAGTCTGGAATAGCGATTTGCCTGAGTCTCAGTATTTGTTAGGTTCGACCTTGGCGCTTCCATTTCGTCAGAGCGTGCTCAAAAGCCTCTTTTTCTCATCGTTAAAAAAGTCAACGTCTGGCGCTTTAGTCGCTACGTGTGCCTTCGTTACAAAGTAGTCTATCTAAATTGGAAGCCGGTTTTTCTGGAGGCTTGATAGTGCTATACGCAGAAATGAATTGTTATCTGTATTCTCAACTGGACGTACAGGTGGACTTCCAGTGATCCACTTTCGCTCTGGTTCCACCGTACGGGCGCGTGACGTTGACACCTTTAGTACTAGTTAGGAGCTGTCATCCAGGATAGTCTTGCCAAAATTACGTCATGTTCGCCAGTCTCAAGAACAAAATTCGCGAGGAAATTGGCAGCGACGTATCTACTGTTGTGAGAAATGCCGGTACCATACGCGGGGTCAATACGAAACATCTGTCACAGGTAGTAAATTAGTTTTCTAAATACCAACATTGACTTGTACATTACATTCACTTTGCACGTAATGTTTGTCTATTAAGTTCATTACTGCTAAGTTCATTACTTCTTAAGACATTGGTTTTCATTCCTTTATCTCTATTCTTAAGATGACTTATCTACAATAATTTCATTAATATAATAGAAGTGATTATTCTTTATTGTAATCTCATATTTTTCTCCATCATTCTGCTAGGCTGGTTCCACAAGCAGTATCAGTGGTTCCCAAATATCACTTGATGGTTCCCGTGAAGGTAGCTCCCCTATACCTGCAGTAAATTTGAAAAGGGAGAATAGTTTTGAAGTGAGACATTGCAATGACACACAGCAATCTGGTAAAGATATCAGGAAATTTGAAATTCAGGAGGATGAGTGCCATAAGTCAATACAGAAGAAAGAATTTAAACCGAGCAAAAAGATAGATGAGAATCTGATAGTGAATGTTAAAGAAAATGATAACGAGCGAACAAGATCGCGGGATAAAGAAAGATTAGAAGACGAGAGGAAAAATATTGAAGGTGGAAGGAATGAAAAGATTAAGAAAAGTGAAGAGGACCAGAGGACCAATGTATTGGATAAAGAAAAAGCATGGAAGAAGACAAGGGAAACTAATAAAGACAAAACAAAATTGGAAGAAGAGAGACAGAAGGCTGATAGTGCTAAACAGACCTTAGAATTTGCCTTACGTAGTGCAGAAGGTATTAAAATATTGAGAACATCTTTTTATCGCATGTCTTGTTTAAATTAATCAATATCATATACAGCCAATTTATTTTAAATACCTTATTATCGTAACAGAAGATGGTTTAATAATGGCTTGATTAAATTCTAGAGTACAAAAGAAAGCTTTACACTTATCAAGAAGAAACGGAACTGTTGGAAGGCTTTCAAACACAAGAAATGGCAAAAATTAAGCATCTTGTAAGTTCAATAACGATTTTACATTTTCATGGACGTGACACAAATTTTTTATAATAATTTTTCAGTTACTTGCAAAGGAACAAGAAGCTCAAGAAAAGACGCAACAATTAAAAGCTGCCTCAACAGAGATAGAAAACCTGAAAGCCGAAGTGTCACGTCTGAGGCGCTATGAAGACGAATTGAATAACGTGCAGGTGAGTAATATGTTTACGACTCATGAATCACCATTGGTGAACTATGACACCACTGTGTTACTCTTTTATTTGGGTATATCACTTTTTTTAATTTTTATTTATCAATTTTTCTGGAGCAATAACTCCGTGTATATAATGGTATCCATAAAATCAAAATCTACGAGAACAACAAAAGCTACAAACATAAAAAATACACATCTGACCAGGAAATTTTGGTAAACTTCTATTCTTGAACACATATAGAATCCTGCATGATAGTATGCTAGATTTTGTTTGCCCATTTAAGTGGTAAACCAAAATTTTATTTGTGCAATGCCATTGTGCATCAGTACACAGGATATGGCGTTGTCAGTGACAATATAATACATATTAGCTGATAGTTACCATTAAATATGAGTCGACCTACCTAGACCTAAGAATGCTTCTTTATTCCAAAAACAAAAATTCTCATAATTTTCTAGTTTATAAGTGTTTTTCAGCAGTACCACTTGAATATCGCTTTCTGTTTCGTCACAGTTCGCTAGTTTTTCTACTTCTGCACATTTGTTCTATTTTCTTTATTTTTTTTTTAATTCTTCTCACACGCACGACAACTACACCTTACACATACACACGCTGGCTGGACCTCACATTATGAGTCTCTCTAGCTGTGATGGCATACTGGGAAACTTCATAGAACCCCGGTGGTGTTCCATAGCTCTGGGAAAACATCGTGCGTGCCTTTTCACGTAGTACTTCTTTTATCTTCCCTTTCTTTTTATTGAATTAGTACCAAACTAAACGCGGCTTGGGCTTAAATCTGCTCCGCAATTATAACTCGAGCGGTAGTTCGAAAGTTTCGCGGTTTTCAACACGTAGAAAAGAGTTATGGAACGTGGGCAAAGTTTAGTGCAAAAAAAATAAAATAAAAGAACGTGCAAGCGTTTTGAATACGTTGAAGAGAAATCGCAAAAAAGAGAGACTCACGTTTCTTTGAAAGAAACGGGAAAACGCCGGAGACAGAGATTAGGCGGTATTATCCGCTAATTTGCTGCTGCTACGGCTGACGCTAGAGGTACGTCTTCAAGGCTTAGCCGCATTTCTGCTAGATACTATATATACTTTTTTTTAAATAACATATACTATATCATAATACTTACATTTACTGGTTTAATGGTTAATATTGATACTACCACTGTTAAACTCGGTGCTTATGCTTTTCACAAGGATTATCATTCTCATGCAGCTAAGAAAGTCACTGGAGGCAATAAAACAAAAAAATTCAATAACGAAATAACGCTACAATTAATCATAGCATCTAATAAATTATCATTTAAAAAATGTCAAAACACCATAAAAATTGCCTTTTGCTTATTTCTAGTGCATTATATGTATGTCATTGGTGTCTGCGTCATAATCGCATTGAGAGAGTTTCATGTGGGTTTATGCCTACTAATAACAATGGCTTTTGAAATTGTAATTAAAGTTTGTTTAAGACTGTGAAATGTGTATCAATCCCAGCATCATATTCTGAAACATATAAACTTTTTCAGGACGAGATGGAAATATTGCGACATTCAACCCAACGTGAACGGGCTCAATTGTCCAGCCAATTGGCGCAGACTGAAGAAGAAGTTCGACACTTGAAGGACAAACTTTTTGTATTAGAACAGCGTCTTGCTTTACAAAGTAACGATCAGGTTACAGTTGATGAGAGAATAGCCGAGTTGATGAGGGAAAGGACGCTTTTGGAACGTAAACTGGAGGAAACTCATTTTCATCTGTCCGACATAAAGACGAGTTGGTCCGGCAAGATTTCCAGTCTGGAGACTCAAGTTGGCCGACTGAGTCGTCAAGCCGGCGAAGAAGGTCTTGAGAGAAGACGTGTGGAACAAGAGAAGGAAGTTTTGGCAGCGAGGATAAAACAGCTTGAGGCGGAAATAGAGGTGAACAATGTTGTTATGGCGACTAAAGACGCCAAGCTTTTGCGCATGGCTGAGGACATCGACGAAATGGCTACCGAACTGAAAGAACTCCGGTCTAATGTTGATTTCGAAGTTGAGGAGTTTAAGCAGCAAATCGTGAGTTACCGCGACACACAGTGATCGTCATGCATGTATCTCAGGGACGTTAGAATTTTTCATGAAAGATTTTTTTAAAATCTGTTTCATTGACCGAGCCCCCCTCGAACGCTCTCTTAGATCTCTGTGCCACGAGTGATCTCTGACACCCTGCATGAATAATCTTCTATGGAAGATCTGCAAGGAAGTTGATCCTTTGATCCTTTTATTTTATCTTTATGTAAAGAACATCACAGTAATTTTATTCTTTGGGCAGTTATAGTTTGGTATATTATAGAGTTTTTTTTGTCTCTATGACGTTTGCGCCTGACGAAGTTTTCGCGAAGAATTTGCATGCCTCCTTTTGAAGATGCTTGTATGCCGAACGCACAGATTTTCTTTTCCTTTTTTTTTTTATGGTATCTAATACAATATTTTTATATCTGCAATGCTACTTTCTAGTAATTAATATTTTTTGCTAATTTTTTTGGTCTTTTCTTTTTCACTTATGCATGTGGCAAATTTCAACGATTCGCGTGAGGAACGAGAGAAAGCGTTAAGGAATGACAACGGATGAAAGTATAGAATGAATCGGGACCAAACAGTAGAAACGTCGTTTTTGCCATAGCTGTTAAACAGTATATTCTTACCCGTCTGTTTATCGTTAAATTAGGCAGTACATTGTAGTAATAATATTTTTATGTACTGTAGCGTCTTATGTACACTTTATTTATGGAATAAAAAGTAAAAAGAAAAAAGACACATTTTTCTTGTCCTTATTTTTTGCTTGTTTCAGAAATATATTCATTCATATATTCCCAAGCAGCTTCTTATCTACACGCCACTTAACCTTCTTTCAGGAATTTTCAAAATGACGCGCGCACCTATACGCTCTCATGACTGATTTTTCATTATCATTATTTTGCTGTATATATTAGCACAGATACTAATTCGGTGGCGAACACAGTAATGTACAGTAACGCACGTGCTTTTGAATTTTTATTTTTTTTAACATCTGACAAAAACTAAAAAAAGTGATTAAAAATAAAAGTGGGTACACTACTGTTACTTTTAACATGGAGTGTCGCATTTTACATAATTAGTGTATAAATCCTTTATACCCAACTGTGAATTTTCAATCGACAGGAATCATCGTCCCGGGAAATCAAGCAGCTGAGGACTGAACTGGAGGAGACCAGCGCAAAACTCACATCAGCCACATCAGAAGTTGCACATCTACGACTTTCGTTCGAAGGTGAAAAGTCGAATAACTCGTCGTTACATTTGGAAGTTGCTCGGTTACGTGAAAATTTGGAAAGTGAACGAACTGCCACGGCCACGCTAAGAGTCTGCCTCGAGAAAGAAAGGAACGAAAAAGATGGAGCATTGCTGAGGAACGCCCAGGTATCACAGGACATAGAAATGGCTAAGCACGAGAGCCGCAGGCAAGAAGTCGAGAATGTGGAACTGCAAAACAGACTTGAGGTTCTCGAGGGCACTCTCAGGAGTAAGGGCAAAGAGGTCGACGACCTGTCGAGAGCTCTCGAGGAGTCGAGGAAGAGGATGGATGAATTGGAGGAAGCCGAACGCAGCCGAGAGCGAGTTGAAGGAAATGAAAAGATGCTGAAGAACAGTTTGACGGACATGGAAGAGCAGTTAATCGAGAAGACAAAGGTAAAATTTTTGAATTTCCAAGATAACAAGTGGCTTCTTTAATTTCTCTTTATCCTACAGACAATCAAAGTCCTGCAACAAAGATTAAGCGATATGAAGAAGACTCTTCAACGAGAATTGAGGGTGCCTTCCTCTTCTTTGGACAGTGACGCGGAACCATCTGCGGCCATTTTGAGTCCCAGTTCATCAAAAACTGTTACAGCCAAGCAGAGTAACTCCAGAGAGGACGATGTCAATTTTAAATACCTCAAACACGTCTTGATAAAGTTCCTAACTAGCAGAGAGTACGAAGTAAGACATTCTATAATTAATTTTTCAAGATTCAACAAAAAGTATATGAACTATACAATTTTCTGTCGTTTATTCCAGGCGCTGCATTTAACCAGAGCTGTTGCGACGCTTTTACACTTTTCTCCCGAAGAAGAGCGACTCCTTCAGGAGACCCTCGAGTGGAAAATGTCCTGGTTTGGTACTCGTCCAAATTTAGGCATCGGGCAAACGGCCAAAGCCATACCACCCAGCTGATAACGAGGTAAATTCCATGCCGGCATTTGACGTATCACAAAATGATGGCAACAGAGAAAGGTTGACGTTCGTTTCCGCTATGACAAAAGTAGCCACGAGAAGCATGAGCGAGTGAAAAGGTCATCATTGTTCCCAAGAGGTGAAACAATGAAACTCCTCAAATAGTCAGTATTTCTAGGCTGTATTTAATACGCGAATAGTACACAAAGTAATTATGTGCAAACGTTTATTTCCTTTTCTTCATTAACGAACAAGCATTAAACGTTCAGAAGAAAAAGAAGTGATAGAACAAAATTATTGTTCGCGTTGATCGCACTCGTTTGATTTTCACATGTGAAAAATCATTGTGCCTAGCTCTTTATTACTCCCCAAAAAAAAAAGTAAAGGACACCAACATTATAAGATTCTGTGACATTGTTGTAAACGATCAATTAAAGCATTCCATATCTAACGAATCACCATGACTACCTACTATTTACCAAGTAAAAACCAGACTTTAGATTAAATGAAAATTATTTTATGAACGGGTAGTAAAAATAAGTATAAATCCGTTAAACTTCGAAATCCCGAGAAAATTCGAGTTTTTAAACTGTCTTTATTTACATCCAACAATTCTTGTTTTTCGACAGATCACTCACGACATTCAGTCTTGCATCTTACACACAGCGACATCCAGTGTCCTATCAAGTGAATCTTAAACTTCCTCGCCCTGTCGTTCATTATCGTGCTCACTTAAGTAATAAATTAAGGGACGAGATTCGATATTCTCTCACACCTCTCGGAGCAAGGCACACGACACGATATACACTTTCCTTTCTTCCTCTTTTTTATTTCTTATTCCACAATTTATTGAAAAATCATTGAGCCACGTTCCTTTAGCTAGTTGATATACGCATCCATGAACTTTCATAAATATGCAGTTGAACTTTGTTTCACTAAAATAACAAATCCTTCAACAATTGAATAATTACCAGGTTCATCGAACTTTCTATTATCATTTTTCCATTGATATCTTTTATCTTTTTTTTTTTTAAATAATCCAATCCGATCGTTCTTCCACCAATCCCCCTCTCTCCCCATACCGAAGCTCCCTATAGAATCCCTCCCCTCTATAGTCGCAGATCGTCTATAATATATTTGTTTATGTTTATGTTACACGTAATCTAAAGTGCGCGAACACGTATTTCGTACATAATTACGATTCTATGTATATGGATGCGCTATTACTCGCAAGCAAATTGCACACACGATATACATGTGAGAGACACCACCACGCGTTCTGTAAGGATTCCATTTTTTTTTTGTTGGTTCATTTATCCGACTAGAGTAGAAACATAAATAATTATTCTACGTGTAGTTATGGCAACGTAACGTTAATTAGCGTCGTTGCGTTGTTCTGAACTACGAAAGATGCGGTAAGAAGTTTTAACACTGCCAAAGGACGGTGTGTTACATACAGTAAAGAGATGAAAAACGATAGGAACGATAATAATAATTATCGATAAGAAGATGAACAGGAACGAGATGTTCGACTGGCACGCACCAGGCATCCGAGTGGCCGTAAGACTCCGGGCTTTATTACGAGTATAATAAATTCCTAAAAATGCTAAGTTCGTACTAACGATTACCGAGAGATAGCTCGATTTTTATTTTACTTTGTATTTTCTTCATTCTTACTTCTTCCTTATTCTTTTTAACGCTTTCTCCACTTGGTTTAGTTTTTTTGTTGTTGTGCATGTCCCGTTGACGAGATTCACCAAGACTGTTGTACATACGTCGCGTGGACATCATCCTCAAGGACTAATGTTATTTCTTTGGTTTTTATTTGCTTATGGAGATAATTCATCTCTTTTTTTTTTTCAAAAATTTTTAGGTTTCCCTTTTTCTTTGACTCTCTGTGTTCGACGGCCGCTGCATTTTTTCTGACTTCTCAAGACCTTCTTACTGCGATCCTATGAACTATCGGTAGTACGTAATGGGAACGCTACTTAAATTGAACTTCACGCGAGACTGACGCCATTACAGTTTTGCAGAGCCCGATATAATCTCCTCGTAGAGCTCGGGCGTAACTTCAACGTACTCTTTGTTTCCAGAACGAAAGTACACTTTGTCCTGGATCTTGTTCGGATCGAAGCCTTCCTTCTGCAGATTGATCTTCTTGAGCTTGAATGTGCCAGTCATCTCTAGCTCCTTAACGATCCTCAGGAAGATGGGACGTGCGTAGGACGGGAGTGCTTTATCGAGACCTTCTGCGAGAGCTTTGAAGTCCAAGAGACTGTCTGGATCCACAATAGCCGCCATACCAGCCTTTCCCTCCATTCCGGGTACCTTTTTTTAAAGGAAAAACGAAGACAATAGATTTTGAGCGACTTTACAACAAAAATTTTTCTTACTATGTCAAAAATATGACGTTCAGCTTTCCAATTGTAAATCACTCTAGTCAGTGTTTTCAAAAGTTCCTATTCTTGTCTTGTAAATTTTTTTCGCGATTAAAAACGTTTCTCATTGGACACAAACGATATTTGGAACTTAATGTTATCGATATGGGGATCAATGAATTTTGATTCTTCTTTTTTTATTTCGACCTACCGGAACGCCATAAACTGTTGCATCTCTGTGACCAGCAACGTTGCTGACTACACCCTCAACTTCAGCTGTTGCTACATTCTCACCCTTCCATCTGAAAGTGTCTCCCGTCCTATCTTTAAAATAGAAATATCCGTACTCGTCCTGGCTCAGAATATCCCCTAAAATAATGTCACAATGAAAAAAAAGTTTTTCATCGAGAAAAATAAGTTTTTTCCATTTTAATTACCAGACAAGAAAGCTTTGTCTCCTTTAGTGAATACATTCTCTATCGTCTTCTTCTTCGACGCCTCCTTGTCCGAATAACCGTTAAATTCTCTGGATGCATTTCCTTGTTTTATAAGTCCTATCAACATTCCTGGTTCATCTACGCACAAGAAAGAAAATAATAAAAATAACAAACCATACCAACACCATATTGTGGTTTATACGAAACTTACTTGTTTCCGCTCTGATACAAAATCCATCCGCTCCTCTGATTGGCTCGCAAGTCTCAGGATTAACACGAATAATTGCAACTGGATGTAGGGACTTTGGTAAAATCGAAGGCACAAAGCCAACAGCACCGACAGTATTATCTACGTTAACTATGAAACAAAAGAAAATAATTAATATCAGATCGATCAATTCCCATAATTCCGATAACCACTCACCAATATTAGTATTGCCCTCACTCGATCCATAAACTTCATTCACCTGTTCGATCTTAAATCGATTAACAAAGTCTTGCCAAAGTTGTGGTCTCATTCCATTTCCCACCATTAATCTCACAGGATGTGCTGTATCTTCCGGTCGCGGTGGAGCTGACAGCAAGTACCGACACATTTCCCCAATATATTGAGCTACCTAATAAATGAACAATACACACCACAATAATTAATACACTTCAAGATCAAAAATACTATAACAATTAATATCATACCAATAATACATACCGTACAATTATATTTAATACAATCCGTCCAATAAGCAGAAACGGAAAATTTTGTTCTGAGAATGCTAGGAATTCCTTTAACCAGTGCACAACCAGTCCCTACCAGTCCACCAGCCATATGATATAATGGTAAAGGATTATACATAATATCACTATTTGCCCTAAGACCAAGCATATGGTAAGTGGCTACCATGACCAGAAGATACCTAAAAAAAAAAAAAGAAAAACAGTAAAGATAGTGTAAAACAAACCAGAAAATTTAGCATAGACTCATGGGAATCGTGGCAGCCCTAATCCCATTCCCTCGACTATTGTGGGGCGTCCCTGACAGGATTATGGATCGCACGTTATGTCCAAGTGCTCTACCGTTACATAATTGAACGTTACCGTCGGATACATAAAAATGTCATTTTGCCAAGTACGAAAAAAACGACTAACATCTAACGATTGCTCGGCCTCTTGTTTCAACACTACCCATATACGCCCTGGTCAATATTCTTTGAATAATGAAATTGTTACGCCTATCAATTACTTATGGCAGTATATAGACACGATATTTGACTCGGAAGATGTATATAGTTACAGGCATATACCTTGAGTTTGGCATCAAAGCTGCTTTAGGTAATCCAGTAGTACCACTTGTATAAATGTATAATAAATTATCCCGATATCCAGGTTCTTCATTCACTACTGGCTGACTCGTTCCAGCTTCAGACAATAATTGATCCAGGTTCTTTACTCCGACTGATAATTCATTAGGATTTCCACCGACTTGATAACGATCGACTCCTTGGATCTGATCTGCGATCTCATCAACAGCTGAAAATAACAAGATCAGTTGATTACAAATTTTAGACAAAGGATATGAGGCCTAGTTCATCATTTTTTACGGTCTTTATATTTTTATTGTAATTTGGGCCCTACCTGTTGCCAATTCACTAGCGTAGATGATACTCTTCACTTTGGTAATGTTGAAACAGTGAATCAACGGTTGCATACGGAGATTTGTGTTAACCAGGGCCGTCACAACACCCAGTTTACCTAGTCCCAACCACGTGGCCACGAATTCGGGCCTGTTGGGCATCATCAAGCCCACTACGTCTCCCTTGACGTATCCAGCATTTTGGAACACCGAAGCTATCCTGTTGCTGTATTGATCTACCTATAATGTATTACAATTGTACAATTCTACGATTATCATTGTTGCCGACTTGGAAATTGGGTGGATTGAAAATATTTGTAGAGTACGTTGAAAAAAGTAAATAAAAAACACTGAGATTATATTATCTATTGAACATTATGTAAATTTCCACATAAATATCACTTTAGTATAGAACTATATGTTTAATCGCGTGATACGACAGCAGACATATACTGTACGTGATATTTATAAAATGCACCATTCCATTGCTTTTATTTGGTAATAAATAGCCTTGCCCATTTTATTAGCGGAATAGTCAATTTTAATATACAAAAAATGGGACTTACATCGGCATTTGTCCATATACGACCCTCCAAGATGAAGCACGGCTTGTTCGGATAAAGTCGGGCCCTTTCGGCAAAAATCTTGGTCACTGTCGTGTTGTTGCGTACGTATCCTCGAGTTTCCAGGTCGGCGTTCACGTAGCGATAGAGAAACCTACAATCGGTCGACGAAACGTCAGGGCCAACGCCATAAGAAGCCGCCATTTCCGAAGCAAATAGCTAAATTTAAACTCTGCAAAATTCTCAGTTTACCACGCGGTACAGTAACGTCATTTGATTATTCGCATCGTGAGGTCTTTTTAATCTACCGTTATTGAGAAAGAGTAGAAAAATTAAATAGCGCCTACTTCAAGATATTCGTCACTGTTGTTTCATATGCTGTTTTTTAGGCCCTTAAATTATCTTTTTTTTTTAAATTTGTTACACTCGTTTTCCCACCGTTTAGATACTATTCTCGACTGTACACACACGGCGGCACGGAACTGTTCTTTCATTATTCCTGGGAAGGCAGCAGCGTGTATCTAAAATATTCATGCGAAGGACGGAAGTATTACGCCGTGACCGAGAGAATCGGAGCAGATTTTAGTCGCGTTGTTGTTGGCGTAAAGAAGAACGTAGAAAAAGGTCATCGTTACCTTCCATATTTATTGATCAACCTCTTCAATGAATTAGATATTCCCTGTGTGTGGTAAATTTCACTCAGCCTATTACAGGTTCCTCATTAACTATCTTCTTCTGCTAATGGCGTTTTAATGTTAAACCGATAACGGCGATGAAAACTTTAAAAGTGTGCCTTTTAATATTTTAGATAACTTTTGCGACGGTCTAAAAGGTTTTTATGAAGGTTCAAAGCCTTTCATACATTTTGTTTTCATTTAAGTGCGTCACTCGAATTTACAAGTTTCTTAAAATCTTGTATTTTTAGTTCTCATTTATCGCGGCACCGATTGATTATTTTATCGTTACTTGAAAAATAATTAAGGCAGTATCCTGCTTTAAAAGGGTCCAAAAATCGATTTTTTTTTATTGCCTAAATCTATTCTCAATGTATCCAAGAATATGTATTCAAAGTTATAGAGGCTAATTCACAATATATTCAAATATACAGCACTAAACGCAATGGGGTATGGGCAGCTGGAGCGCGCGCTCCTTTACTTTAAAGCGCGTTTGCTCGAGTTTTCATTTTTACGCTTTTTCTAAACTGGCGGGCGTGATTGCAAGAAAACTAGACGAACAATCAAAACGAACCAAGGTTTGTTAGCTTCAGTTTTATATTCTCTTCTATTTGAACTAAAAAGATTCATAAAAAAAGTTTTAAACAACTTTTTTAGCAAGTTAAAATAATTTTTTTTTTCACAAAAACATATTTTTTTCAAACTTGAGAAAAATTTTAGATTTCACAATTTTTGTTTTTTTTTCAGTTTATCTAGAAGAAAAATATGGAAATTAAAATTTTCTTTGGTTTTATTCTTTCAAACGAAAATTGCGAGCTTCATCTTTCCCGCCGATTGGAGACTGCAATTCCAAGGTGTTGCACAAATGAGCATAAAAATGTGCTGTGTATGAATATTTTTCGCTCAAAAAAATTTTTGTTTAATGTTCAAATATGCAATAAAATAATCTTCTAAGTTCGCTACACTTGCTTATTTTTTTTCAGTCCTAAGAGAGTTTCCGGAAAAACGCTTTTTTTAAGCCTCCTAAAGCAGGATACTGCCTTAACGAGCATATACGTGTCAGTGGCTTCAGATTAAAATACGTCAATTATTATATTTACAACGGAACAGTATTTGAGATTAGAAATGCGCCGCTCAAAGTCCACTTGATATTGCAATATATTCTTATGACGATTATGACAAAAGTTAATTTGTCTGAGAAACAAACGTAAATCGTCTCACGATTCGTAATCCTTCAATTTATAAATAGAACAAATTTTAAACAGAAGTCCAACGGAAATGTAATAAAATTAAATTCATGACAGACATCGCATACGAAAACTGTACAGCCATTCATGATGACAAACAAAAACTGATGAGAGAAATAATAGTTGGAAATTTAAAAAGGAATAAACAGAAATGTATTTTGTATAAAAATGCTTACTTGATATCCCGTGGAAGAGTCCTCAGTATTATATAGATCCTTCGATGGTAGCTATAGATCAATGGAACGAGAGCAGCTGCCAAGCACAGCTGTGCAATCCTGGCGAAGGCGCCGAGGCGCATCGCGACGCCGGCAGCCATAAGAGCGACGATCGCCAGAACGAGAAGCACCGATCTGACGTCCATGCTATCCACGCCACGCCGCTCTGAAATGCCAGAACGGTGGTTGGTAGGTAATACTGTTGGCAGCGCCGTTAAATTTACTCCAGGAGCAAAGGGTCTCTGCATGCACTTAACGATCGGCGCACGCGTTCTAACGTTGCGTTAGTACAGGGTTGACATATCCGTTAGCAAGGTTGGCAAGCCCTTACCAGCCAGGCTGTACACCCGGACAGGACTAAAATACACGTTAGACATTTCTGCTCTTCAACCATTTGCAAACTTGACCCTTTATATGTCACCGAACCTCGCCATTTTTTTTATATAAATGCCCACGCACATGTTGAAAACAAATGAAACAATTTCGACGAACAAAGTTTTGTTTTTCTATCGAAAATGGACTTTTTACAAATGGCGTTTGAATCCTGATTATCGTCAAGCCGGTTATTGATTGGCGCTCGTCCACGTTTCATGAGAAACCTTTGGTAAGGATTTCAATTAGACGGTATGGATTAGTACGTTTTTCTTGTGTCACAAGGTATAGGGTCATTTTAGATATTAAACTTTAAATTCATGCAGGAAGTCATTGATTGCAACAACATGGAATACTAATTTATTATATGTATTCAATTTTCCATCATCCAATAGAAGTATTACTGAACGGTGGTATCAGAGATCACAATACGATTTTCGATTAAACCCCTAATTTCATCTAATTAAAGTCGATTTAACCGTAACGTCTTTTTGATTTTTCCCGTTAACAAATTTGTTACCGGAAAGAATTGATGGTATCGATTGCCACTACAGGGCCACGAGCAGTCAAAAAGATGTTTCGTCAGCACGATTATTAATTTTCACACTCTATAGATTTTCTGTTACAACACAACGTAAGAAGAACTTACTATTAGGTAGTTTGTTAAAAAAAAATAAAATATGTCGCTCCGATGCAACTCAGAGCTTAATATCACAAGAGCGACGAGCTCTCTCATCCGACGAACGAATAGTACTGATGCTTGGTGCCAGTCGCTCTCGCCAAGTCACTACACGGCAGTGCCTGCTGAACGCGCTTTAAGCCTCCTCAACCCTGCGCCATATCCATCACCATTTTACCTACGACATTTTATAAAAGAAACCTCCAATGTATATATATCCATATTCACCCGAGATAACTAACCGACCGTTGGTCAACGATAACTAATGAAAATAAGTAGCAAAGTTCAAAGTGCAGAGACTATTGATAATACAATAATCGACTGGATACACATTGTAAAGGATGGACCCTGTGCGAGGTAATTATCATCTTAAATAAACCGATATTGACATTTGAAACAACAGCTGGGGTTTTATCAAACGCAAGTTGAAAATTCTATACTTGACTGAGTTAAAATATTTAGATATATACTCGTACGACACAAAACATTCAGAAAAGTTTTATGCTGTTGTGTACCGTATATAAGTGCTGACTCAACAAACCTGCGATATCATTGAGTCATCTATGATGTTAAGAAAAGCTACAGTTTATGAAGTCGCAAATTGTGGGCGGGATTGGAATAAGCCATTCGTAGAAGAATTTTTACGTTATAGCAATTCTACGACCTTAGTGGAATGTTTAAAACCTGTTGACAATGCGAAATAATTAAAAATATACTATAAACTTTAATAAAATATGTGTAGCGCGGAATCAGCATACTTCGTACTCGCAACTACAATTAATATCAATAATGCTATATTTAACGAATTGTGAATTGTGTCATCGAAAGTGTGTTCGCTAGGTGGCAAGGCGTGAAATAATCAACCTGCAACTAAAGTGTATCTTTCAAATCTGTATATCAGAATAATACTTTCGGGGCACACACGCCATTAAAAATGTATGAGCATAACATACTGACTACGTATGAACTTTTTTGAAAAGCTGGCGGCTGATTATTGAAAGTCTTCATTTACAGTACTTAGTAATAAAATAAACTGTTGATTTGAGGTGTTACTTTGAATTTCATCGATGTCACATTCTGATCATGTAACTGCGTTTGTTTGGGATTCATATAAAACTTGTACTAAAGATTTGAATGTTGATCTTTTATGTGCTTTTATTTTGCCACATGTGTTATTTGATTATTGACTTGTTTTGCATCTATTACCATTTTTTTGATAACTTCGGGTTACATGCTTGAGTAAAAATTGTTTATCTTGCTGATATGTAATTGTTTGTTGGGTCAAAGCGCGATATGTGTTCCTGAGAATTTCGCAGTTTTCTACCGCATAAGTTACTACTTTAAGCCTGTGAGAATCAATAAATGGCGATGCCTGGCACGGGATACACCTGTGAAAATACTATTTATTTATTGGCGAATCGTTTTCTTCAGGCGACGCTACGTCTAGCACCTTTGTTGGCTTAATCATCAAACTTGTAATCATTCGTTTTCCTTTTTAACTTCCGGCTACGTTTCTTACTCTTCACGTTCTAGCGGGATTTTATACTTCGTTTTTATATACAGGTTCATTCAGTTTAGACATTTCATTTAAATCTGACACCTGTCATACAGTCGTCCAAGATAGACAATATTTGTCAGGAGTGTCCAATTCGCAGTCTTTTAATTTTTATTAGTACTTTGCAAAAATCTATATATAAACATTTATAGCTACTTAAATGTGTAAGAGAAAGATAGACTCTGCTATGAATTATATTTTTATCTTTAACCTTTCCAAAGATATAGATGTGAAAGATATGGTATCAAGTAATATTTAATTAACGTAGCTTCGTAATAAGTGATCAATCTAAATTGGTCTATTTGTTTTGAATAGACCTGTACATGCCAGTCAGTGGCATCCGTTCGGTGACGTAACAAAGACGTGATGTGGGTTTGAACGAAAATACCATATATATGCACAGCATACAATACATATATAAAACATTACCATAAAAATGATTAGTCTTAATAAAACTTTCTTCTAGACTCTCTTTCTTTCAGGCACACGTTAGTAAGATAAAATTGAATTTTAATAACGGCCCGTAGAAAATATTAAAGTTTTATTCTAAAAAAAAAGTAACAAGTATAACAATACATCTACTACGTCCTAATTGGCAATAAACACATACACCGTGGAATGCAGCATAATTAATTAACGGTTCGAAGCAGCCACGAATTCGAAATCGCTTAAAGAGAATTCGTACATGTTTTCTAGGAAGTTCGAGAGGTGGTCTGAATTCATCTCTAATATAAATATGTAGCTGTAGGAAATCGTAGGTCCAATACCCATGTACAATATAATAAACTATAGAACAAAAAAACAAGGAAAACACGATTACCTCAATAAAACAAAACAAATAACAACGCTATGAAAATAATTATGCCTGCGAACTCATTCCCCTCGTCGTCATCAACAATTCAACGGATTCCCATAACAATTCGAATACTTTTGACGCCAGTAAGACATTCATCCGCGTCGCAGATTGCAAATCGACCATCATAGGTCTAAGCTACTCGTTAAAGACGTAACTTTCCTTCTTGAATATTATCAAATATTTCTGAAGTCAATAGCTGGTAGCCCGACTTGGGATCCATATAATAAATCTTGTCTTCGAGTTTTCGAACATCGAAACCCTCTTCCTGGAGCTCCTTCTTTTTTAACTTGAATGTACCAGTGACCTCGATCGTTCTTAAAATTCTTACGAACAGTGGTCTGGCATAGCTTGGCAAGTGTTCGCGTACATCGGATGACAATTTATCCATATCCAACGTTCCGTCAGGATCGTAAATAGCGGCCATACCAGCTCTGCCTTCGGCACCTCGAATCTAACAATAAATATTGATTATAGTTTCGGATTTTCTTTTTCGTGCAATTACAAGGGAAAAATACATTGATATCATTTTACCTCGACACCATAAACTATGCAGTCACGATAATTCACTAAATTGCTAAGGATTCCTTCTATTTCTGATGTCGAAACATTTTCTCCCTTCCATCTAAAGGTATCGCCTGTGCGATCCTTGAAGTACAGGTAGCCAAGTTCATCAGCCATAAGGATATCGCCTGGAAATTTTGTTAAAACAACAGTTTAAAATTCTATTTATCTTATACAGTTTTGTAGTATTTATTTTTTTGAAATATATTGTACCAGATATAAATGCTGAGTCGCCTTTTGTGAAGACGTCATGAACCACTTTACTTTCGGATGCTTTTTGATCAACGTAACCCAGAAACGCCCTGCTTGGATTGTTAGGAATTATTTTTCCTATGAAGACACCGGGTTCGTCTGAAACGTTATTTATACACTGAGAATTTCATTCTTTTACTCAAGTACGTTGATAAAATATGTAATAAGCTTATCAACATATTCCTGAAAACTTACTTGGTTCGCATACTTGACAAAGTCCTTGGGCATTTCTTATGGGTTCACCTTGGTCATTTACTTTTATTATAGAAATTGGATAAACCGAAGGTATTATTCTGGATATGAAACCAATGGCGCCAACAGTACTGTCTACATTAACTGAAAAAAAAAATTGAAAACTTTAATAACAATAGTAAACCATGAAATTACTCCAATCAATCATACTTAGTCCAATAACTCTTACCAATATTTGCATTTCCTTCGGTAGCACCATAAAATTCGACAATCTTCGGTATGTTAAACCGTTTCACAAATTCAGTCCAAATTTGAGGCCTGAGTCCATTGCCAAACATGAGCCTAACTGTATGATTCTTGTCATCCGATTTCGGAGGAGAGGCCAAGATATAACGACACATCTCTCCAATATACTGGCCCACCTGAGAGCAGATTAAAAAAAAGAGAAATAAAAACAAATAAAGATAATCAATAAAAACGTGAACGTCACAAACAGAACATAGAACCAATGGTGCATCATTCATCAAAGCATGCACTAATAATTAAGCAAACATTCAATCATCATGTAATCTTTTCTTTAGCTTTTTTTAACTCTACTAATAACAACACTGCTGATAACAAGTGTTCCCCAAGCTCAACGGTAAATATTCCTTATCCAATTGTATACGTTGGAATGAAAATTATCCATCCCTTCCCCCTCGATCAAATCCCCCCCCCCCTCCACCATCACCAAGGGTCATTAATAAAAACAGCGATTTGTCTTATATTGTTAGTCACGTGTAAAGAGAAAAGATCGAAGTCAATTTTAAAACAGGTCGTTTTTTTAACAGACTGCATTATTAAAACGCGTCGTTAAAATTGACTTGTATAATAATTAACCCCTTTCTCCCCACTATGGATGACACTGCATCTCACCGTGCACTTGTACTTCGTGCAATCATTGAAGTATGAGCTGGCTGAAAATTTTTTCCTAATAACTGTCGTCGAGCCGTGTATCAAAGTTTGACCTATGGTCATGATACCGCCCGCAGTATGGTACAAGGGTAGTGGCGTGTAATATCTGTCAGACTCTTTAAATGCTCCTAGGTAGTGGATGCCGCTGGCGATGAACATAAATCTGAAACGAAAACGTAGGATCCGATGCCTTTACAAAAACAAAAAAAAATGTGGAGAAAAAAGGAAGATGAAAGTTAAACGTGCCGCTGATGATCTTTCCTGCCTTATTATTATTTTTACCTTTCCTTTTCTCTTGAGTGCTTTTTGCCTTATGGGACATTGTATGCATGTGTCTACAAACTCACTGATTGCGATGGATGCAAGAGCCACAGGGTAATTGCGCAAGCGATAATAACAATAATTGCGTAGACACGACAGTGGATGTGTGAGAGACAGAGAAAGAGAACAGCATGTTTCAATCGTACCTACGTAGTAGGCGTCAATTTGGTATTTAAAAAAATGTCCAAGAAAAGGTAGATAAAATGCGTTAAGCGTTAAATTAATTTTTATGTAATATATAACCCGTGTTATATATTACGAGGTCATCCAATTTATGTCATAACGGTTGGACTCACCTGGAATTTGTGATGACAGCTGCTTTAGGAAGTCCAGTTGTACCGCTGGTAAAAACGTATAAGAGCTTATCCATGTATTCGCCCTTTTCTTGTACTACCGGTAAAGTTGTAGGAGCATCCGCTAGGAGCGCTGTCAAGTCTTTTTCCTTTAAGCCATTCGACGACTCTCCTGGCTTGTCACTAAATCTGTACAGTGTGATCTTTGCGTCGAGGGTCGATGCGATGTCTTTTATAGCTAGAATGCGAATGATTAATTGAAACTATTTTCGGTAAGGGCATGATACATTTAATACGATTCATTGTTTGAATGTTGGGGAGATTTACCTTCTGCCAAGTCAGTACCGTATATCACCGCTTGGCATTTTGAAATATTAATACCGTGTAGCAAAGAGCTCTTAACGAGATTCGTATTAATTAATGGTATGATAACGCCAAGTTTACTCAAACCCAACCAAATCGCCACGAACTCTGGACGATTTTCCAAAAATAATCCCACTACGTCACCTTTGCGGTAACCATGGCTCTTGAAGACATTTGCTACTTTGTTACTGAAATCGTCCACCTGAAAATTGAAAATACATATCAAATTAAAGATCTGTGGTATACCATAAATTCGTGCAACATCGGCATATGTGAAAAACGTGTTACAATGGTTTCTAGGTTATGAGCAAGTTGGTAGTCTTCGTAAATATTTCGATGAGACTTTGTCATGAGCAGCGAACATCAATGAAGTCAATAGAAAAACGAAACGAAAGATGATTGAGTACAGATAAATAGTGGGGCAATGTATTTGCATACATTGGTTCAGCCGTATCATCTTACGCATCATCATTTAATTCCTGCTAATACGTATGCATTGAAGGCACAATCTTATAGTACGGAATAAGCGGTTAATGAAACATAAGACAAACTCCGGCAGAATCAACTGCAGCACATCCGTCAACTTTCATTAATTTTTTTTTGATCCCACGACAATGCTAATGATTACTAATGGAAGACAGAAGAAAACACCAGTCTGTATAAATGCAAATACGAATACAAAAACAAGTATTGATTCTTATTTTCTGACGTTATTAGATAAAACACCACTTGAATTAATCGTACAGCTTTTCAATAGCATCGACAGATCAATGAATACGACTGAATACGAATCTCTGAATGTCATTGGTAAATATTTTAATAAAATCATTAACCACGTGTTTCGAAGTCATAAAGATACATGGCATTGAACAGCCGCTTCCAACGGTAATGTCACCTGCTTCTCATTAAAAATTATATTCGTTCTAATTACAGTCGATGGAATATTACTTGCTGGAATGTCCATTCCTGATCTTGGAAGATGAGACAGACTTTATTCGGATGCCGTTGGACATTTAGCTGGAAGAGGTCGGCGATGCTCCGATTTTTTTTTTGATAATTTCGTATCGCCCACAGGACTTTGGCGTATCGTGAAAGCGCTCTGAAATGAGAACAACAAAATTATCGATAAATACACCGAATCGAAAAATTCAATGATTCCTTAATTAATCCTTATTAAGAAAATTCGTATTAGTCACTCGTCGAACATGCACATCGCGCGTGTGGAAATGCGAGATGGCTAAGTAAACCGAGAATAACTTGTTGCTTCGCGGCAGAAAATTTCAAGACCGCCAAGAAGTGTTCCGTTACGTATTCCTGAGGTCGTAAGAGAAGCTGCCGAGAAGGTACAGATGAAAGAGAAGGCCAATGAAAAAAAAAAGTGAGGAGGAGATGGAAGTGGGAGAGAAGTGGTACAGCAACCTTTTACCTACGTGTACATCTATATACCTCTTATATGCGTATATTCGAAATTCTACGTAATACGAATTTCTTTAGGCAAAAAAAAAAAACAAAAATAACTAATAACAGAAATGATAATTTTGAAAGATACCAAAAGTTCGCATTTTTCATAAAATTGATATTGATAAAATTTAATAATGAATTTTATCAATAGATCTTAAGCGTGCCTTAATGCCATTTTTTAATACGCACGAGGTTACGATATTTAGCAATATTTAAAAATCATGCGCAGTCATCGAAAGGCGATCATCCATCCAAAGACAATGACTTTCAGTAGTGCATACGTCGCGCATGAATTAAAAACGTCACCAGCAGGTGTCGATGAATTTTTGAATTTCTTAAAACTTTATATACTTTACTATTATTTTGTTATAATTTTTTAATAAAGTGTCGTTCGATTAATTATGAAAGATTTAATACGATTGGTCTTCTGGAAATGTCAATTATTGGATGTGAGATTCAAGTTGGTACTAGGAATGTGTAAGCTTGGTGGAATGCATGTAAATTTTTCGGACCAGTGTTATACCCGTCAGACAATTATTGAGAATTCGAAAGTTCCAATTACGGAAAGCCAATTTTGACGTGTACGATAACGGCATTAATTTCAGTGTGCAGCTACGCTAATAGCACCGGAGTGTGATATTGTTGTGAATCAAAGAAAAATGTGAAAGTCAGTACCGTAAGTTAAGTCAGACGATTAGAGAGGAGATACAAGAATCTTTGCTACGTATCAGATTTGAAAGCACATATCAATATTTTCAGATAGCAAAAAAATCCCAGTCATACTATTGCGGGAAAGTGTCAATCAATAAACTTGAATGCATTAAACGTTAAAAGTAGCTGTCAAAAAATTGCCCTCTCGAAACTATAATCAAATAATATATTTGTATGTAAGTTTCTTTGTTACCTGTCAAAATACCGTAAATCCTATTGTCCACGCGATCTTATTAAAAGCACCGTCCCTTTCATTCAGGAATTCCAAAATGTTAAAGAAAATTGAAGCAACAAACTTACCGAACGTCTCGCGGCGCGGTTTTCACGACGACGTAAAACCATCGGAAACGTCCACCGGATGCGAAATACGCGACGATAGCAACGAGAACAAGCTGCAGAAGGAATATCGGTCCCATGTAGATCCAGACAAGGGCCGAAACGGCAGCAAGGACTGCGACGAGCAACATTCCCAGCACGAGACGTCGTAATAGACGAGCGACTGCTTTCCGTCTACTCGGAACGACGCCATGTGGGGCACCAGGGTGCGCCTCTGTTGCCGACGCCGACGGCGACGCCGACGTCGAAACCGGCGTCGGATTGGGGTTGCCCCCTCTCACTGGCTCGCCTCTTTCTACATCCTACAATAAGTATAACCAGTCGATCAGACTTTTTTCTCTCTCCGGACAGTCTCGACTTGCGTGCACCAAACTTGGGTCTGATAAAAAATGTCACCTACTTGTTAGAAAATTTTAATTTTTTAAATAATTTTTAACCAAGTTCTGAAAATTACCCTTTTTTCAATATAAAGCTCCTTAATACTGATATATGATTTACAAAAATTTGCCAACGCCTCGCGAGGAGAATGAGACATTAAAAAATACTTGTTTAATTAAGCTGCCATTCGTTCATGCGTTTCTGTAAAATTCCTTAACGCAAATGCACTTTGGACTAGATAAACCACACGCTGTATTTACGTACGTTGGTTGTTTTGTACTTGTACTAGAACAGGTTCTACTATCCGGTCAACCGGTACCTACACTAGGCTGTACTTACAACCTGCAGTCGACTGGCCGATTGGAACGCTATCAGAATGAATTTCTGTAGTAGTCTCTTGGGCCTCGTGATTAACGAAATTCAAGAATTCACCAAGAATTGCATCCACGCATATACACCTGGTGGGAATTTAACAGCTACTGGGAGCTTTTACTTTAATCCGCTCGACAGCAATATTTCTACAGACTCGATCAATATTACTCTAGTGCTGCTGCCACGCGGTAATGATACAAGATGCTCACTGATTTCTTTAACAGTTGATATTTTATCTTTAAGAATTCTATAGTACGGTATGTCAGATTTAACTACGTATAAACTAGATTTTCGCGACAGTTGAATAAACCAAATCAGCGCCGAACGATTAACAGGATTAAGACGAGATCAATTAAATTGAATACAAGATAACGGAAAGGTATAGTCGGTACATCATAGTGTCTATTCCAATCGACCGGTATTACTCACGACATTCTCTCAGGATTGTCCTACTAAATAAATGAAGAATTTCACAATTTCAATTATAGGTTAAAAATGAGTAAATTTCTTAAATAACACCAAAATTATTGTTAAATGTCATACAACCAAAATATTTCGACTCACTCGATCTTTTTCTGGTGCCAAATTTGGTATTATTGTTTTCCCTATATTATTGCTATTTCCAATCTCAGCTCCATTAGCTATGGTGTTAGACATCGTTTGATATTATTCAGCACCAAAATACATAAATTCACTGCACTGTTAAAACCTGCTATACCCCATTTACGGTATTACCCTGAGTTTAAAAAAAAAATGTAATAATTTCATATACACTGTACAGTACGTTATTTATTGATTAAAATCTCGATATCCGTTACTGTCAGTAGTTCGAAATTCCCGCGCGACTTTGAACAACAATTACGACCAGCTCGGACAACGTGTTGCCGGCATTGGATCCCGACTGTTACTAAAGTCGCGTTGCTGGAATCGGTAAAACACCAAGTGGCCTCCCTCCTTGACGTATGCAGTATAGGAACATGCGGAGAATTTAATTCGTATTGTTGTCTGCGAGAACTCCTCTTTATTCTTCCGAGCCATCTTCTTCGTTCTTTTTATTTCTACGTATCAGCCAGAGACTTCGCCCTTGCGCAGAAGGAGCGTCAGCCGAAAACCTGAAAACAAAGGAGCAAGGCCCAAAAAGGAATTGGCATAAATTACGAAATCTTTAAAGGGACCAAGGATGATGATGTTCATGACTCACAGTCAAACCTGTCCAATTGTGGTGGTGAAGCGGCAAAAAGAATTCGTAGGTTTGCAACGTAGGTTGTCGAACTGTCCCAACATGTAGGTAGAAACAGTAATATCGTGTATTATTATTCACATGAGTGTAGCGTGGGTGCAAGCAATGAAAATGACGATTACAAAAGACAATGATGATGAATATTATAATTGTGTAGAGAAAATTTTATAAACGTTCATTAAACACGCTTAGGGTGACCAGATAGTTTGTAATGCGAAATTTTAAGTTAGATAAGAACAGGTGGACAAGAAAATTATTTTTAATAATTATTGACAGATAACGACGTTAATCGTTATAAAATTGAGGATGATCTATTTTCAACATTATCAATCTATACTATCACTAACACCTATCATCCTCGTAATGATCCCGAAGAAAAATCAGTCAAGAAAGTCAAGAACTGGCGAGCATGTAAAATAGGTTTCGAATAAATTCTTTTCTTATTTTTAGATTTATAATTTTCTCCGGCAGCCTCGTTACGAACAGTTAACGGGATCAGCTTGCCGGTACTTAGAAGTTTCCCTGCAGTTAATATTCTTAGCGGTGCATTCGCTGTGACGGTGAAAAAGAATTTTTAATGTAATACGAGAATATAATTTTCGTTTCCTCGATCGAATAACGATTTTATCGATATATGGATCGCTGACCCATCGATCACGTGCCTTTTCAATATTCTAAGCTGACTAACGGTGCCAGATGCACTTCTAGATATATGCATTTGCATCAAGCTGACTTGAATCTCAATAATTATTTTCTACTTATGGGGTGACATCAGTCATCGCCCAGTAAGAATACATTATATATCTTTGGCAATATACTAAATGATATTACGTGCCAATGCTGTGGTTATTGTCGTGCGTATATGTATACTATATATACCGCAATAAATTTGATATAACTTCGCCATTAATGTACGTTCATTGTACCGACAAATTACCGTAACTTTATTTGGGTTACTTGACTATCGTAACCGTAGCTGAGAACCAACTGGCTAGAACGTTATTTCATTGAACATGCGAGTACCTGATACGTATTTTATATTACGAGTTTCAACTGCGTCTATGTTGCTAATACGTTGTTAGAGTTTCTGCCGGCAGAGGGCGAGTTTGACCTAATCGGTTTCCCGCAAGTACTGGGCCACTGCTTCGGTTTGTATATAAAGAAGTTTCCAAATTATTATTAACAGGTAGTCCGATGCTTCTCAGGAAGAATTTAATCAGAGATTATTTACGCAGAGAAATCGAAGATAAACGTGTCGCACCCTTTCGCCACATACATAGTGGATTACCGGATCCGTTGTTCGTATGTGAACTATACTGTGGAAGCGACTGTGACTACTTTTTGCGTATTTAAACCACTACTTTTTACATATTTCGTTCTTTTGCATTTTATACTCTTTTTTTAATATTTAAAATTTGGTCTGCTTTTTAAAATTCATACAGAAAAAAATAATTGTCATAAATATCGTCAGCTTACATGATAGAGCATGTTCGTTAAGAGGTTGTCCACTTAATTTTTTTTTTTTTCTTTAAATAGCTCATGGGTTTAATTAAGGTATCGTGCAGAACTTGCGTGACCGGATGGGTCCTGTAATGAGCATGAGAACGATCTACTATAGAGACTCAATTAATTTCATGTTCTCTCTTTGATGTGATGCATGTCGCACAATGCCTTACCGATTCGATATACATATAGGAACCAGCTTTTCATTCCGACGAGAATCGGTTCAAATGTCAATTATTCCGTTGAATAAATTACACTTTCGATCGTACACAATATTGCATTTATTCATGATCATATAATTGAATCAGCAGGCGATTACTTGCGTCACGATTTTGAGACTGACTATACTAAAATACTAAGATTGCTTTACATCGATCTCCAGGAAATCCCAGGAACCGGTAATAAAAGCCTAACACATGTTACTCGATTAGTATATGTAATTAATCGAATTTCAAATTACGCGCCATTCGAGAATCGAACATTCTACGTGTATTCGGGAACATGGTATGGACATTAAGAATCATTGAAATAATGTGACAGTTGGTCTAAGTCTAGATTAAATTTAATAACGCAATAAAAGCAACATAATAAAGAAATGTCAATATTTGTAAAAATTTTTCGAAATTTACAAGGGTACAAATAAATATTGATTTTACCAAGAAGATAAAATTAATCTCTAAGAGATTACGTGACTTAAATGTGACTTAAACATAAATAACTTTGAGGAAAACATATAGCAGTGTCATGAAAGCATGTCTGAATAAAGTTAAATCACGGATATAAAAGAGTTTTGATTTTTTTTTAGCTCCCGCATACGTCATCGTAGTATCCATACAGTCAAAGTCTTTAACGCAGTATTTTATCAATTTTAAATTACTAGAAACAGAATGTCTAATCTATTCAGGGTCATTTAGTGATGTCAAAAGTAACCTCGTGTGTAAAGTCATCAACAAAATTATTGGCATCATGAAATTGATACGCTCTCAATATTGAACCAATGAGCACAAAGCGTGACAAATAGAGCAGGAAGTCAGAAATGTCTGCCAGAGAAAATCTTCTAGCTCGGCAGAGTCGCAACGGAGAACGTTGAACCTAATAAATTTGAGGTTAACACAATTAAGCATAGTTGTGCACGCATCTTTTAACACTAGGTTATTCTCTCATTTTTATTTTAATACTTCATCTGACCTTCTAGAATGCAGGGGACTCTTCGAAATTGGACTCAGTCGCGTGCAGTGCCTGCTCCAAGCAGTCCGCTTCTCTTTTTACCATGTTTAGCAGCAGTTGAGAACTCTCTAATAACTGAGTGAAGTAATATATATATTATTCACGTATTTCAAGGCACAGGTTACACGTCTGTATGTACGAGTTATGTAAATCCATGAATAATGTTCGCTATGCACTATTATCGTTTTAATGTTTTTTTTTTTTTTATATTGGGCACTGAAAAATATCCGTCTGGTAAAAATATAATAAAACTGGTAGAAGACCATTGAACATAAAAGCTAACTTTGTTGACGGAATCTTAAATCTCTTTGGATATTTATATTTTTCCTCATTTTTTTTTCCTCTTTATTTTCTTTGTAATACCTTCGTATAAGCCGATTCTGTCTCTCGAATCGTTCTATCGTAGTCGTTGCGAGCTGCTGCCTTTTTAGTCAAACTTTCGCTCAACTGGTTGATCTTATGGGTCATACGTTCGACTTCCTTCTCCAACGTCTTCTTTTCTTCTTCCTCGCTGTCGATTTGTACCTGGAGGTTCGTCCTCGTCGTCTTTAGCTCGTCGATACCTTGAAAGTCAGTGTGTTTCTTTTCGTTTACAGGTATAAAATGTGAGTCACCATAAAAATAGAACTTATGACGTACAAACTGTATATAACGCATTTGTACGTGATTAAAAATTTGTTATTTCGCATATAACGAATAATCAATATGAATTATTGAAACATTTTATTAGAAAATTGTATTTGCAACATTACCGCGATTATTTTTCATTCGTTTATAACTAGTCAATAGTTTTGTAGGCAGAATTTCGTGTGCAATACTATGAATATATAACAAGAATATTCAATAGCTTATAGCTTAATGTATTATTATGTAGACAGTATTTTAGTATTAGAATGGTGAAAGTTTTATCAATAAATTTACCTACATTTCATTAGATCCGAATTGTAATTTTGCATTACCACACCGAACTGGCTCGCCATCTGTCGGTACAACAGTGTAGCGTTGAATTGGTTGCGATTCTCCAGGCGGAAATAGACTTTACAAACTATTGTATAATATTAACGCGTACAAATATTCATGAATGTTTGAATAAAAAATATATCGTGATAATTTATTGCTTATCAATTTAACCACCAACAATTTTATAAGTTTCTTTCCCGAGAAGTTTGTAACATGATAGTCCTTTGTTTCATGAATTACAATAAATTGTTTCTTATGAGTTCGAAAGGACTTTTTGAGTACATCTTTGAGTACATGTATACTAATATGAATCTATTAAATATTTATTAGATAAAAATAATTTTCATGCCCTTACTTGACACAACTTCGTCATACCTGCTCCTCGCTCCAATAGATGGACCCGCTATACACGTTACTGGCATATCCACATGCATAGTTCCAATTCAATTGCACAGTTTATTTTTGTGTAAATTTATTTAATTAGCACAAATACTTCATTGATTACAGCAATCTATGGGTTACCCAATCCTTCGTACCACTACCATTTAATATTTACTTATGTTCAGTAATTTTTTCCTGCTCTATTATTAGGTCCGTATGTACACATAAGTCTATAAGATACATTGACACATCTTTATGACAGAGATTTATCTATTTTTTTTTTCTTAATTGTTTTTATATACAGGGTGACTTCAATAAAACTATTTGAATGTTACGATTTCTTCAGAAAATCTGAATATCCACTAATATCTTCGTAACAATATTTTTTATTATTCAGAGTATATTTTGATTATCGAAAATTTCACTCTAAACATATATCCAGAATATATACGAATATTTTTTAAATTCACTGAGTATATTTCCAAAATCCGAAAACCCTGCTTTCGATAGCTACGTCTTCTTTCTTTTAGATTCAGTGGGTAGATTTGTATTATCTCCCTGTGCTTATCGTAATAACTATTGTAATAGTAAGGTGCTGGCACATTTCAAATATCTCTTGTCAGCAAGAGGTTGAGCGGGTGACTAGGAGGGGATATGGACTGAATGAATAGCAGTGTAGCAACCAGTATAAAAGAAACGATTGCGCTTGGTGAAAAGTTTAGTCAAGGTTGAACGTACCGAGGGATCTGTGCTTTTCTCATGGGCCCGATATGATTTGGTTAGTACATAGTTGATGAATATCACACACAAATCATGGCTTCACATAATTTCACACATATTAATATGTAATAGTCATTAGATCAATAAAAAATAATATATCCTAAAGTAAACAGCAAGCAACAGTTAGATACTAATGATAATAAAAAGCCTTATCATTTTGGAACACTTGTAACTATAGTAATCTTGTCACCTTTTAATACTATTGACAATAACAGATGCAATTTAATGTTATCTAGCTAATTATATTTTCAACTGCACCGATCATCGCGCAATAAAACTTACGCGGTCGTTAAAGTCGGCAATTATTTTGATTGTCGTAGTACTTGTATGCTCTATGCCACTTTACTTAAAACATCCTGTATGCGCTACAACGGAAATCATATTTCGTTTGATAATCGCCTCTTTTATTAATCTCATCTCGTTTGTCATACTTGGTGTTCGTATTAAAACATTTCGTGTAAATCAATGAGAACGATACATTTTCTAATTAAGAAACTATTTGTACAATCCGTGGAAAAATTTTTAACCTACGTCTCGATCAAGACGAATATATTATAATACGAACATCTATAGAGATATTTCTCCGTATAAAGACTGATTACTTGTGATACAGTACAAACCTGTTTATCCCTCCATGATAAATGTAAAAATTATCTATATGCAATCTGATACAAGGTCTCCCTTGTATAACTTTATAAACCTATAAAATTTTGTGTGACATTTAAAAAACAGCATCATATAAGAACGGGTGTATGACGTATAATGATGTATCATCATCTTAAATAATTTGATATAGGATAACCGTAGCATTATCGCATTAACAAAAGACTGTATATCTTATCGTATAAATAATTAATAATATCATACGATAACGTAAATTTTATGATTGATCATTGAAATAATTGTCAAAAAATGATAATAGAACATTGCACAGTTGTCTTATACAGTCAACGTTGGAGAAGGACCGCGTTGAAAAAAAATAATGTTGAGTCGATATTTCACAAGGATACATTGTAGAGAGTTTTGAAAAAAAATAGAATCACGTTCAACCTTGGCGCCTTTTGTCGTTTCTTGATTACTCGGCCGTGCGCCACTATCGCGCGGGAATGTTTTACAACGAACGTGAACGTAAATGAAATAGTATGATGTACGATTTGAAGAGCATTACTTATCGCAAGCTAATAGCCCATAAACGGAGTTACGTGGACGTAAGGTTTCTGCACAAAATATCAGCTTGGGATTTTAGGAAATAATCTTCTGTGCCAAGGACGACATTTTTTTTACTCACTTTGACACTTCGAAAACTATTCTCATTTTGTAGACGTTTCGTACGTCAAGCTAAATTTTAATGATATTTGTATATAATTGTCTTGGTAAAATTCATGGCAGATAGATATTCAGCAGTCCATTATAATACAGTATTACTCGGTATATCCATCGTTCATAATTTCCTTGATTTCACTTCGTGGAACTTTTGTATTTCTACAGCTCCAAAAAAACTATTGTACTATCCGGTGTGCTGGCTGTCGTACTCGTAGCCGTGGTTTTGACAGTTGTCCTAGTTTTCACTGGACAAAGAGATTTTACAAATGCAGAATCAACAGGCTCAGCGACAATTGTCAGTGATTCCTTGTTAGGGAAGTACAGCAAGGTACAAATAATCTTGAGACAATTTGTGAATGGATGCCTAATTAATTGTTACTTTCATTATATTGCAATTGATGGGTTATATTTCTGCTTAGGCTGCTGTCTCAACGAATGGCCAAGAATGTGCACAGATCGGCGTTGATATGTTAGCTAAAAATGGCTCAGCTGTGGATGCTGCAATCGCAGCTTTAATTTGCGAAGGAATTGCTTCTCTCCATAGGTATTCTGCAATTATATTTATATTGATATACAGGGTATTTCTATTATCTCTGCCACCCGAAATAACTCGGTAATTATCGATGTAACAACAAAATGTTTCAAACAAAAGTTGTACGGTGTGGAAGGGGCCACCAAATGCGACCAATTTTTTTTATCTCGGTGGAGGCGCTGATACACAGTGAAGGTCACCTCCATTTTTTTAAATGGTGCCGTCACAAAGAAATGTTATCAGACAAAAGTTGTACGGTGTGGAGGGGGCCTTCAAATGCGACCAATTTTTTTTTATTTCGGTGGAGGCGTTGATGCACAATGAAGGTCACCGTCACTTTTTTAAATAGAATGGTACATTTTTTTTCAACCATCTTGTGGAGCACCTCAAGTCGTATAAAAAAGTTTAGGGGCTCAAAGTCGTTCAAGGTCATTCAAGGTCAGTATCGATGATACAAATCTAAATATCTCGGATCACCACCAAATATTTGGTAGTCATCTTCAATGTCCCCCATAAAGAAAAATCGAGTGGGTTTAAGTCCGGTGATCTAGCAGGCCAGCCTATTCGTGATCCTCGGCTAATCTGCTTATTACCAAATTTTCGGTCGACAGCATTGCGAGCTATCCGTGCAAAATGAGCTGGACAACCATCACGTTGATACCAGAGGTTTTGCCGATCCCACAAGGTTAGATCTTCAAGCAGCACAGTTAATATTTCTTCCAGAAAAGCAGAAATAAAATATAAATTTGAAAATACCAAATGTGTAAAACTACCAATCCGATCCGAGATATTTAGATTTGTATCATCGATACTGACCTTGAATGACCTTGAACGACTTTGAGCCCCTAAACTTTTTTATACGACTTGAGGTGCTCCACAAGATGGTTGAAAAAAAATGTACCATTCTATTTAAAAAAGTGACGGTGACCTTCATTGTGCATCAACGCCTCCACCGAAATAAAAAAAAATTGGTCGCATTTGAAGGCCCCCTCCACACCGTACAACTTTTGTCTGATAACATTTCTTTGTGACGTCGATAATTACCGAGATATTTAAGGTGGCAGAGATAAAAGAAACACCCTGTATAACTTGTATAGTAATTCCGTACAATAGTCTGTTAAACAATGATTGTTCAGTACGGGTCTTGGAGGTGGATTCTTCATGACTATTTGGGATGCTGAGACTGAGGCTGCTTATTCTCTCGACGCTAGAGAAACGGCGCCGGGAAATGCTACGGAGAATATGTATTTAGAAAACACTACATTGTCTCAATATGGTAAATGAAATTGATAGATTGATTATTTTCGTGCAATTAATTTTAACATAAATTTATATAAATTATATACAATTTTTATTCAGGTGGTCTGGCTGTTGCCGTGCCAGGCGAATTATTGGGGTACTGGGAAGCACATCAAAGATTCGGCAAACTGACGTGGTCCGAGTTATTTGAACCCAATATAGAACTATGTTATATTGGTTCTTACGTAACGAATTACTTGGCTAGTTATTTATTAAACAAGAAGGAAAATATAAAGGCTGAACCAACTCTCGCAGAAATTCTTATAAATCCTGAAACCAATTCTAGTTGGCAGGTAAGGGGAATAATTTTTAATAAGAATTATATTTTTTTGCACGGCCGTGAATAAAGTTCATGTGTAATGTTCGATTTTGAGTGCGTAAAGTGTTTTTTTTTTTTTTTTCATACTGCGTGCAATGTGAAAAGTACACTTTACGCACTGAAAATCGAATTTCACACATGAACGGCCGTGCAAAAAATAGCGTATGCAATTTCTGCATGATTGTTTTTCACTCGCGAGAACTCGTGGCCGGCGACTCCTTTGCGACGATCACGGCTCGTGAAAAAAAGGTTCACTTTACGCACTAGTGGCATAATGTATTATTTCAAAATTTTGGAAGACAATAATTTATATATTTAGGTAGGCGATAGAATAAAGAGACCAAAATTGGCGAAAACGCTACGACTAATCGCTGAGCAAGGTCCTGGCATTTTTTATAATGGAACAATGGGTGATGATTTGGTTGCTGAAATTCAGGCATTCGGTGGAATCATTACCAAGGAGGATCTACAGAATTACACGTTGGCCTACTCTTCTATATTTCACATATGTGCATATTCTGACGAAGGAATTGTATATGTAAAATTATTAAATCATTAAATGATTTTAGGGTCAAATGGAAAACTCCAGTAGAGGCAACTATTGGAAACTTAACTATGTATACAGCACCACCACCTGGTTCTGGAGTTGTCCTCACGTTCATGATGAATGTTCTTCAAGCGCTCATTCCTACAAATGACGAAAACGTCATGTGGCAAAGAATCATTGAAACATTCAAATGGGCTTACGCGAGACGAACCGAACTTGGGGATCCTGACTACGTTAATATCAGTAATAATTAAACATTATCATTGACTCTAAGTCTAAGAACAAATAATTAAGAATGAGCTATTGATAGACCTTTACTGACTCACTGCACTTATCAATGAACTAATCAGGGTTTAATACTGGGACGCTCTTGCCCCTTTGCTGGGTTTTATTGAAATTAATTCAACTGATAAAAAAATAATTTAAATACATAATGATGGGTGATAATGATACTTATAAATATTAATTTACCACTTTTAATATTTCTTTATGTAGACAGTGTAGTGGGGAACCTTACGTCCACTGCTTATGCGGAAGAGGTGAGGGGTTCGATTCGCGATGATTGGACAAGTTCGGATCCAACTTATTACGGTGCAGTAACTGATCAGATAGAAGATTCTGGAACTGCTCATATATCAGTCTTGGCCCCTGATGGTTCCGCTGTGTCTGTCACTGCTACGATCAATCTAGTGTACGTCATCTGTTTATGAACAAAGTTCAATTTGAATGTAAAAAAATTATTTTTATGATCAAACGATTTTTATAGATTTGGTGCTATGATACGATCCAACTCAACTGGTATAATATTTAATGACGAGATGGATGACTTTAGTGTACCGAACACCACTAATGCCTTTGGTTTACCATCGTCACCTGTTAATTACATAGCTCCTGGAAAGAGACCTTTGAGTTCAATGAGCCCGACTATAGTGGTAAGATTTTTTTAAAATTTACGATCACCAATTCTGCCCAATATTGTGCAATGCACTATAGTACTGTGACCAGTTTTCTTCCACCTACGTATGACTCTACAAAAAGGAAGATAAATTATTATATCGAAATCTATACACTGAATGATAAAGATTATGGTATTCATTGGAATGCATTTTCCTGTCATAATATCTGTTATCATTGACTCTCGTGTTTGAAGACATTGTGCAATACTTTGTAATAACGAGAGTTGTCATCATGACCTATGTCTTTTTTTAATAATCCGTCCATGCAATTATCTCCCAATGACTTTACATGTCACGTCGTTGATAACAAAAGGGCGTATAAACCATCGAATTTTCCCCAAACATACGCCTTTTTTCTTTTAATCATGCAACATAATATAATACCAGGAGATATAAAGATAATAATCGGAGACAATAAATTTTATTATCAGTTGGACGAGAATAAAAAAGCGAAATTGATCATCGGCGCTGCCGGCGGTTCTAAAATTACAACTGCAATTGCGACGGCGATGATTTTTAATTTATGGTTGGGTTACGATGTTAAGGAGTCCATCGATGCTCGCAGAATTCATCATCAGGTATGATAGGTGTTTTTTAAATTTTATTCACGCGCATGTGGACTTGGTATTAAATTTTTGTTTTCCAGTTGTTCCCAATGAATATACAAAATGAAAATGAATTTTCTCGAAGTATTCTTGAAGCTCTTCACGAAATTGGCCATGATATCAAAAAATATAGTGGAATCGGAAGTGCGATAACTGGAGTAGCTGTAAAGGATGGAATTGTAACAGCGAATTCAGATTTTCGTCGTGAAGGAAGAACAGCTGGTTTTTGATAACACGTTTCACGTAATAGCATAATCAATTAGCAATAATTTTGAAGCCGCTGCCATGAACGGATTTTGCTCTAATATAAAGATGTAAATATATGACCTTGTATATATTACTTGTTTTGCATGATGTGAAATGCAGTATCTTTTGTATATATATAAGTATTATCAACATTTTTATTAATAATCTTGATCATGCTACAAAATGTAGAAAGGAACAGAAAAACAACGATTTGACTATTGTAAATTACATCCACTAGGAACTACTGCTACTTTCTGAAAGTTCTGCCTCCATTTTTATTGTACAGCTGGATCGTTTGACTTTTTTTGTACGCCCTGGACCTTTTTTTGACTTTCGAAAAACCTCAATGGCTTTAAGTTTTTTCTTCAAAGAGTTTGCCTTGTCTTTTTCTCTTTGTGGGATATATTCCTGGGAATTCTTGCTACTCTCGCCCAAGTTGTCGACAACTTTTTTGGTATCGGCATTCGGATTAGTTTCAGGAGTTATTTCGACTGTTGATTTTTTGGACTTTCCTGATGCCTTCTTCTTTTTTGATGGTTTTTTTTCTTCATTCAAATCCGATCTTTCCGCTTCTCCGCCCAATTGATTTACTGCTTTCTGAACTCTTTTACTCAGATTAGTTTCAATAGATTTCGGCACGGTTTTCACTTTGAAATAAGAATCTATATATTTCTGACTCTTTTTCTCGTGCATTCGCTTTAATACAGGTCCAAAAATATCATCAAATTTCGCTCGACTCCAACCGAATTTTTGTCTCGTGTAATCAGCCAAAAGAACCGAATTTGGCTTACCCCATGAAAACGTTTCCTTTGACTCGTCGACCGTTGGAAATAAATAAGCCTGAGCTACTGCTTCGCTAGGAAAACCTGTCACAAAATGGACTTGCAATTAATAAATCTGTCATTTAAAATTGTTGCAACAAAATCATACATTTACAAAAAAGAATGCTTTGGTACCTTTTTCTATTTGAACATTTTTGATCTTGTTACGGAGACCCGCTTTACCAGGACCAACAACTCTGCCTGTATTGAGCCAGGAATAAAAGCTTCGTAGTCCTCGAAGTATATTCTCGCGATCGGATGGAAAAGCAGCAAGAACTTCTAAAGCTGCGACAGGTCCGATGCCAGGAACACCTGTGGTATAATCGCTACCTACCAGAAGTGCCAACTGAATCATTTCATATCTTGTTAGTTCTGTAAAAAAATACCAAGTGAAACATTTGTGGAAGTAACATAAACGCATATAGTAAGGATTCAACCAATTTTTAACGATTATGTATAATGAACTCACTGAAATGATATTTTATATCATCAGAAAGAAATTGTAGTACACGCTTGTTATTGTTGAAAAAGTTTTTATAGACGCATTTTCCACCAAATAGCCAAATATCAGAATCGTCTGTTATTGTTCCATCGGTTAAATTAATTGTTTCTAAATAGGCGCACTGCGCCTCAGCTTCCATAGGAGCCACAATATAAGGAATACCAAAAAGACGTAGAAGTTCCTAGAGTAATGAGTATTAAGTGTAAAATAATATTTTATTATGTCGGGAATTTAAATTCAGTATGAATCATATACCTGAGCTTCTATTCTCATTTGATCGGTTATGTCTGTTGCTTGCCTTTCTAATTTTCCAATTTCTCCACAGAGTTCTTGTTGTTCGCTTTCTAATTTTTTCTAAAAGAATATCATTATCATATTTTTATAGTGAATAAAAAAATAGACAGGTTTATTTACCTCCATAGAAAAAAGTTCGTCCTTATCCAAAGGCAAAATTACAGGCTGAATTTTTGGGACTTCAGATTTTTCAGTTTCCGCACTTTCTACAGGGATTATATCGGAATCGGTACTTTTTTCTGTATGTGCTATTTCCTCATTGGTTTTGTTTTCTAGTAATTGTTGTTCTTCAGATGGATTTTTCAACTTTTCCGGTAATTTATCTATTTCTTTTTCTATTGCTTTTTCGGATGTAATGTCCGGTAACTTTGTTAGACTGGATTCTAAATCTTGTTTTGGTATTTCTTGTGGTTGTGGAATAAAAGTCTCAGGATTCAATGATTTTGTGTTATCGATTTTAAATACGTTGGTAAACATATCGTCTTCCTTCAATTCATCAGTCTTTATTCTTATTTCTAAAGTTGGACCCGGAAGTGATTTTGGAATAATAGTAACGTTTGGAATATGTACGTCTTCAACTTCTATGAAGCCATCCGTATCAGAATCCGTAGAATCTAATCCCACTTCCGTTGTAGACGTAATTGATTCTTTAGATTGATCTATTCTCTTAATCGACTCTAAATTACTATAATCTTCAATTACTTCAACCATATTATCTGATTCAGAATTGGACTCCGTAGACACCGTTTTCGAAATTAAGTCGGTTCCTTTTGATATTTCATTAATTTCCTTTAGCTCCTCTGAACTTCCTAAACTTTCCATGTCGTCTTTTTCATGGGAACTAGGACATTCTGATTTAACAGATTTTTCTGAACGCCTTAAACTCTTCTCTGAACTTTTTTTGTCTTTCTTATTTTGTTCAATTAACGATAAAATTTGTTCCTGCGTCAAACCACTGTGTTCTAGCATATAAGACACAGCAGGGTTTAACGTAGTTTTTCCAAAATACTTTTTAGGAGGTTGTGGCGAATCAATTAATTCAACATCTGAATCCCAATCGCTATCCAGCTGGTATTCTTGAATATTTTCCATAACAGGTAACGTATCTTCCGATTTCTGGGTTTCATCTTTTTCCGAAATAACTGCCAATTGCGAATTGGTGTTATTTGAAGAGGACTCATTACTTTCATAATTACCGGCCGTAATGGCTTTCTTATCTAAAAGTAACGATCATTAGTCAAAAGAAATGTCAATTCTGGATCAATTACCTTGAAAAAAATTTCACGAACCGCTAATGTAAATTAATCTAGTGATGTTGTCGGAAGCTATTCGAAATACTGTGTCACGTTCAAATGTATTTATTCCCTGTTCGTTCAGAAGTTTATTTAGCTCCTCCAGAGTTAAAGTTTTTCCGCCCATTTCCTTCTCAGCATTTTCTAATGACTCTTGAACGTATCTACGTTTCAATAAACGTTTCATTTGAAAATCCGAAAATTCATTGGTATCCTAAAAAAGACTGTTTCAGATTTTTAAAAGTTTAATTGATATAAGTAAATTTGTTTTCTTGTCATAGAACATTTGACGTACTTCTGGCATTTCGTGAAGTCGACCCCACGAATTTTGTTTTCTGGTTTCTTTGAGATCTGTGAGTATATCATAACGAACATCGGCCGGCAATGCTTTAAATTCTTCACTATCAACGTCAACATTATGAATATTTCCTGTCCACTTTGTTAGCCTTCTGGGACTTATCTCCTCAGAAGAGTCTGAGCCTGAATCGTAGTCAGATGGGGACTGACTAGTGTTAGGCACAATAGGCAGTTTAAAGATATCATCCACAGTAGTATCTAGATTTTCAGGAAGTTGAGAAGGACCAGCATCGGAATTTTTGTTAAGAGCACCCTTTACTATGGAGTGCTTTATGAGATTGTTTATCAAGTCATTCTTCATCTTCTGCGCCTTACTAGCAGCAATGGCTTTCTGCTTCCTGCGAGAAGCCTGAAACACAATGGAATGGACAGCTTCTTTTCTCACTACCTGGTTCCCACGTTGTGTTAATTACGTGCGTGCAATATTATTATCAAGATAGGCGTCCGCGTCAAATACGTAGATGGCTTTTTTACACTTTAAGCTACTCACGATGGTATTCTTTTTCAACAGAGGTACACCGCCATCGAAAACAAAGACTGGCTTTATTTTATAGTACAATAACTTGCAGATTCTGTGGAAAAGACCGATAAGATGTGCATTAGGAAGAGGACTGCCCCTCCGATCCTGATATCCTTGCAACACTTGATGTATCCATATCGAAACATCTGAAGGATCGAGTCAAGGACAAATATTCTATGGTTAATTATTTTATTTGAAAATAGTCAAGGATACCGACTGCAAGAACCTTTCCTTCGAGTGTTTCTAATGGAACTGGCTTTCCTGTAGAATCAAGTAAACGCCACAGGCCATATACCCCCATGATTCTCTAAGTTATATCTGAAACAGACAAACAATGTTAATTTCTCATGATAGAATCACCTATTCTAACCTATGGAAGAAACTAAATTTGACAGTTGATATGTTAAGTTGTGATGATCAGTATTAATTTGGATGTAAGAACAGTCTCATGCTCACTGGAATTTCGGCTTCATCCGCTGTGGAAAAAACCTGGATATAATTATAATCTAGAAACAAGCAAGCAAGCATTCTACAAAAAGTACCAGTTACGTTAACTACACAAGCGCCAACTGGAAATCTATCGCCATGGTGTTAACGTCAAACAATTTGAAATGTTGTCAGATATACAGTGTAGATCCTCATAAGAATATCATCAATCTTCAATCATGTAGACGGGAAAAAATTCATATCATCTCATAAATAAAGTATTACATAAGAAAATGAATGTTAGAACTCTTCATTTACGGTTATTTCCATACAAGAGGGTGTTATATATTCAACGCAATAAAAAAAGATATTACCCTCCAAATTCGACAAAAAAATACATTTTTATATAAAAAAAACTGTAATGTTCCAACAATGTTTTAAGATTTTTTTAGATCAAGATTTAAAATATATCCAACCATATTTGTAATGCGATAAAATAACAAGAGTAAAAAATAATTTATGAAACATCCTAGTAGAATTATATTTATTCCATATAAAGATATCTAGAATGTTTCCCATGTGAAGCTTAACGAGTCTAAGAGAATTTCATAAGCATTCCAAATGGTGGTACATAAAAACATATAGACCTTTCGCTAGTTCATATATAGGGTCTTAAATCATCATAATTTCTCGCTGTTAAGTACATACATAAAACAAGAGCAACACAGCTTGGCACAAGCAATTAGTTTAAAATCCAAGGAAGTAGAAGAGACTGATTTCTGATAGTATCCACTTTGTTTACGAATACAATTCTACTAATTCAGAGAGTCAAGGCAAGGATACGCGCAGAACAAGAGGAGTCGCAGGCGATTGAGGCGAGAGGGCCGAGTCCGAAAGAGCGTGTGTATATATCGTATCGTCATCATCGTAGCAAAAGTGGAGTGAGGCAGCAGCAGAGAGGCAGAGGCCACCCACTCTTTCCCACAGCAGGTTTTTCCCACGCCCCCCAGGGTAACCCCAACATCCTTTTGCGGCAGCAATTCCACGGTCAGGAGGGGGCAGAGTGGATGAAGGGAGTGCGGCATCAAGAGAGTGCTGGGGTCGGACGGGCCATTGTACAACAGTAAAACAATAGAAACTGCAGCCACTTACGCGCCCGTAATAACTCTACGTTGTCGCCAGGAACTTAGTTACACGGCGAACGCCGGTTAGACTTGTGTTCTGGGATACGCAGCTTCATCGGGAGAGAAATGTATCCTTGGTACTTCTTTGAGGACTAGATGTGATTACCTTGAGTAGGGCACGAGGTTGTTATTGCTCTGTAGAATTTTTGGATTCTTTACTTACTAGTCTCATTCAAACCACCGCCATCCTGGGGAATTATACGTAAGGTTGGCAGGACTGTTCGGAAAATTCGGAAAGTGAACAGGTGTTTTTTGAATGGATTAGCCAGAATAGCCCGGCGGTGCTGCTGGTGTGTTTACGAGACGAGGTAGACACTGGGAAAATGGACACAGGCGTTGAGCCAACGATGGCTCGCTGTTCTAAATGAGGTGAGTTTTTTAAATTCACTTTTAGTGAAATAATGTTTTTGTGGTTTTGTTGTTCGTATACCTCTTTTTGTCTTGTTGCTTTCTCATGTAAATAAACAGTGGATTCACTACTCTCTGGGCTCATTTTTTACCTTCCTTGAAGGCTGTGCGTTTTCGTTGCTGTTTCTACCCATCATTCTTTAGTGATCATGAAAAAGCTAATAATTTTGTTTGACTCAATAACTTTTTACTCATACCATTGATGAATACGATACTTATGTCCGTGTGCATTTGTAGAATAAGGCTAGAAAGCTACGGTTGTATTATAATGTTTATCTTTTATTTTGAAATATTTAATTGTTTTAATGATGTTACTATTGCGTGTATTTGAGAATGATATAACCTCTGCTGTAAAAAAGAATACTAAGTGAAAAAAATTTTGGTAACCACTATATTTGTTTCAATATTCCATGTCGAACTATCCAATACTTTTTGATCTGTGGTTTATCTTATTGGTTAACTCACATACACTATTAATATGCAATGCACTGCATAGAATAACTCATAACCTTGATTAGCATTTATAATTGGTAGATACGTCGATAGTAAAAGAGCAATCGAGCACTTCACGATAGATTATATTAATCACTACTGGGCCATAGTTTCATGTTGCACTAATTAACACTAGATATCATATAATTAGTTGTGATTATCTGTAACAAGTCACAATCTCTCTGATACTGGAATCATTTTCCATGCCATTTAAAGTCCCACTGTGCAGCATACAGGGGCACCTTAATTCATGCAGGAAAAATGAGCTCAGCTTCATTCCCACGGTTCATAGTCGTTTCCTTTTTCCTGTGCGAAGACCAGTAATTCCCTGCAGCTTGTTTAAAACAAGATATCTGAAGTTAATTATACTCTGTGAAAATAATAAAAACTCTTCCCATGACTTACATCAGCTCCTCAGCTTATTATATTACACATATTTTTACTTAAATCAACAGATTCATCGAAGAGAACAGCCAAGAAGGATGAAAATGTAAAAGAGTGGTCAATCCACGTTTAAACTAATCATATCGGAAGCGTCGGACTCCAGAAAGCCACCATAAATATGCCACACCAGTTTGGTTTGCCAACCATGGCCCACGGGATGCAGTCGCCACCTTCCCCGACAGCCGTGATGTCTTATCCCCGTTTTGGCACGGGTGTCTACAGGCCGGATCATCAGGATCAACGATTAACTCGCGAAGCCATGGAACGTTACTTGCGTGACCGTAGCGATATGGTTATAGTAATATTACATGCAAAAGTCGCCCAGAAGTCATACGGCAATGAGAAACGATTTTTCTGTCCACCTCCCTGCATATATCTCTTTGGCGACGGCTGGAGGATGCGTCAGGAGCAGATGTTGCGCGAGGGTGAAACCGAACAATCTGCCCAGCTGTGCGCCTTCATCGGTATTGGCAATTCCGATCAGGATATGCAACAATTGGACCTTAACAATGGTAAACAATACTGCGCGGCAAAAACTCTGTACATATCGGACTCCGACAAGAGAAAGCACTTTATGTTGTCCGTAAAGATGTTCTACGGCAGCGGACACGACATTGGGGTCTTTCATAGCAAAAGAATAAAAGTGATCTCTAAACCTTCAAAGAAAAAACAGTCACTAAAGAATGCTGATCTCTGTATAGCAAGTGGCACCAAGGTCGCTCTATTTAATAGGCTCAGGTCACAGACAGTGAGTACGCGTTATCTGCACGTGGAAAACGGCAACTTCCATGCGAGCTCGACGCAGTGGGGTGCATTCACTATACATCTATTAGACGACAATGAGAGTGAGTCTGAAGAATTTCAGGTTCGCGACGGATACGTACATTATGGAAGTACGGTGAAACTTGTCTGCTCTGTAACGGGTATGGCTTTGCCCCGACTTATAATAAGAAAAGTCGACAAGCAAATGGCCAGTTTGGAAGCAGATGATCCTGTCTCTCAGCTTCACAAGTGCGCATTCTACATGAAGGACACAGATCACATGTACCTGTGCCTGTCGCAGGAGCGAATCATTCAATTTCAAGCAACGCCATGTCCTAAGGAGGCGAACAAAGAAATGATCAATGACGGCGCGTGCTGGACCATCATCAGTACAGACAAAGCAGAATATCAATTCTTCGAAGGAATGGGTCCAGTCCGTTCACCAGTGACACCGGTACCGCTGGTCCACAGTCTTCATCTGAATGGCGGAGGTGACGTAGCTATGTTGGAACTGACTGGTGACAATTTTACACCTAATCTTCAGGTCTGGTTTGGCGACGTCGAGGCGGAGACCATGTACCGGTGCCAAGAGAGTATGCTCTGCGTAGTACCGGATATATCTCTCTTCAGGGGAGAATGGCTTTGGGTACGTCAACCCACTCAGGTACCAGTATCTCTGGTGAGAAACGACGGCATCATCTACGCCACAGGTTTGACCTTCACCTACACTCCCGAACCCGGGCCTCGACCTCACTGCGCTCCTGCTGATGAGATAATGAGGGCACCACGTTCCATGCACAATCAAGCCAGTATGCCTCCAGCAATTGCGGACGTACCCTGGAGCACTCATCAGCCACCCCAGTCGGGCCTCTGATGTTTGTGAATAAAGAATCCTGACGAAAGTGATAGTAACTCTTCTTGAGTTACGAATGAGAGTCTCTTAGCTGTAAGGTACGCGACACGCAAGGTGGACATTGTCGAGTCATAGATGGGACAATTCATTTTCAAAGACATAGACAACTATTTCCAGAGTATTGTCTTGGTTATGACGTTGACCCTAGTTCGTCTAATTTTTTCTTGGCACTGCGTATCGACGCGGATGATAAGATGGTGACGATGTGGATGGATGTGTCCGGACAACTGTATAATACAGTCCAGAATACAATTTTACAAAGATAATTATTTATCATAGCAATTAGTAAGTTCAACGACGTGTGTGTGCTATCGCGTTATTCCTATCTGGCGCCAAAAGGACGTCGGATCTCAAAAGAAATATGTACGCAATTCTGGACCGAGAGTTTATATATATATATATATATATATACAATTCTATAATTAGAATAATATCAACATTATCCTGTGGGATAATTTTATTCAGATTCGTATAAATTTTGTATAGCGACTACGCAATTCTGGACCGAGAGTTATTAGTAAGTTCAACGACGTGTGTGTGCTATCGCGTTATTCCTATCTGGCGCCAAAAGGACGTCGGATCTCAAAAGAAATATGTACGCAATTCTGGACCGAGAGTTTATATATATATATATATATATATACAATTCTATAATTAGAATAATATCAACATTATCCTGTGGGATAATTTTATTCAGATTCGTATAAATTTTGTATAGCGACTAATCATGGCGCAGGCTCTTGATTCAGAATGTTACGCGTTCAATAATCAATATAGAGTTAGATTTTATTAAAAATAAAAACTCATACGATTTTCTTCGTAATTGAAATTCCGGTGAGGTGAGAACAAAAAAAATATTTTTTTTCCCCTCTATTCCATGTTTTTTCCTTCCGAGGTATTCATGTTTTTCCGTCTTCGAAGTTATTTGCGAATCGTAAAATATACTTTGTGAAGCTCGAAGGCTGGATAGGAATAAGCTCGTGTTTTATAAGTCGTGTGTATAAAAAAAATTAGAAGAATAATGCGTAACGTCCGAATGAGCAATCACGAACAATTTCCACGCGTATTAGGTTACAAGTTAGAAAAAATCCAAATGGTAAACAATGATTTTTATACTGTACGGTAACGTGTAGATATATACTATAGATATATACATATTATATATATATATGTATATGCAAATGGCAAGTTTTTTTTGCCGACGAGCATATTTCAGGAGAAGAAATCTTAATGCTGGCATCCTGAAGATCAGTGAACTGTAGATATACTGGCATAATTAATAGCACTATTTATGGCAATGATAAGAGAAATATATATGATATTTCAATACATATGTGAAATATATTATTTTCGGAGTACCCCCTAATTGTGTAGCATCCCAATTAATTAACGCATTACCCTGCTCTTACAAACATGAAAACTGTCTTATGAGACTTGAGGAATTCGATAAAAAAATTTTAATCTAACATAAAACGAATTCAAAGCGGAAGTATGATAAGATCGGTGCGAGATGGCTTTCTTGAAACGAACCCTATTGTTTATGATGGTATATATTCCATGGGAATTTACCCACAATTAACATTCATATAGCCGCGATGGCAAATACGGTAATCTTTATTATTCACAGCAGTAAATTCTGAACTAATAGTAATAATTAATTACATCCTTCATGCCACTGGACGGATTAAGTTATTCCGTGAAAGCTTCGTCACGAGCAATGAACTCTTTTTCAATATTTATTAATTCCGTTCACGAATATCTTACAAAAATCTTGGAGCTTCATCATCGTCTCAAGTGCTCTTGAAGATGTGTCGACCATTCTCTATTTTATCCTTATTGTGCGCTGCTTGTTCATATTCGTCAGCATTAGGGATATGTATGACGTGAGAAGATCGTCCATTTTGTATCCCAGTGATGTTTCACACAACAGCTTAGAACCGCGTACCAGATTACCGATCGTCATGTGAAAATATGTATTGCCGGACGACCAATTAGAGATTCTTGTAAATGGATGGGTTACTAATATATCCTGAAAATAGAAAAAGCATATTTAGAATGTTTATCGTATATATAGTTTTTTCGATTATTCATGTAATTAAAGATACTCTTACCTTTGTTAGAGGATGAATGAGACTCACACCGTGTTTATTAATGGCAATTAATAATAATTCTGGGTAATTTGGTTCCGTACTTTGCTTTACTTCGAAAAACGCTGATCCAAACGTTGGCCAGCGGTAAACGATCTTTAAGAATGTTATTTTTGCATCTTCTGGACTCATCCCTGAAGAGATGTACAAGGCGTTAATTTTACAATTGATCAAATTATATAATTAAAAGATATAAGATAGAATCGTACCAGCATCTTGATTATAGGCAGCTATTATTGAGCGTTTCCAATCGTTGGAACTTTGAATCTTTACCAGGTCAGCTGGTACCAATTCTTTGAGCATTTGACTGAAATGATTTGTAAGATATAATGAGGGTAATGGAATATGGCTAATTGATTACTTACGGAATAGCTTGTAATTCTTGTTTACTCTCCCCGAAACGAACTCTGTAGACCAAAGCAGCCAATCTCGAAGCTTCCTCTTTAGTGCATTTGTGATATCCTGAAATAGGAGTCTCGTTAGAAAACCATTTTAAGCGTTATCGTATCTCTAAACCACAGATAAAGTAGAATGACCGTTCCCAGAATATCCTGTTATAATTAGGAAAATAAACCTCTAAGTAATTTCGGTAGCTCCTGATGGAAGTGGAATATAAGATCAGCATTTCTGTCCTTTCCAGGCACCGTATTGGTCCACAACTTTTTCATGAAGAAAACTTGATAAGTAAATTGTGGCGCAACTCCTAATTGCATAACAAGAAAAATGATGATTATACGTTTTAAAGGAATATGACCACAACAAAAGTCGTTAAAATATGTACCATCTCTGGACGGACGAGCTTTTCTAATCCAATCTGTGAGATGTCTCACAAAATCAAAAAAGAAGTCTCCTTCAGGGACAGAAATAACTTTATCAGCAATCTTGACAAACAGACTGAAACCTTCTCCCGAGCGAAGATTCAATCTTTGTGCAATATTTTGGCAAAAATCTTTAGCTCTGGTAGACGAATCAACTTCAAAGGCCTCGTCCGTGTCGTCCGGGAAGTAAACCTTATGGAATATCTGAGTAGTTTTGTGCTGAATGGCTTCAACCTCGACCTGATGTGGAGGATATTTTCGCTGCCCATTTCGTAGAGTCTTTTGAAGTCTCTGCAACGAATCCTGAGATATCGGATGGCGTCTTGTTCTGAGAAACAAAGTCAATTCCTTTAAAAGACTCTGACTGCACGTAAATAGTCCTGTAGCCAGCCACATTAATTCCCAACCCCGTTCCTCGCTAAGACGATTTCTATTGTCTGTCAGTTGCTTCATAATTTGACAATATATCTCATCTCTCAGAATCTCATTTTTTAAGGGTCCGTCAAATATATGATCAGTATATTCATTGCCCACACGTGGTCTCTTAGTGGGAAGATCTCCCATATACTTGAGAATTGCGTTAAAGGCAAAACAGGCTTCTTCGGCCAATTCTTCTTTAGAAGTCAATTTCTTGAGCAGTGGTTGTTTTATCGGGTCTCTTGAATGACGCCACAGCTCATCACCGTGGCCACGCCTGGCTGTTGTTAATGTCAAAGCTTTTGACATTGTTCTCTTGGGTGGAGTTCTGAAATGATCTATTGCATATTCCAAAAGCGTATGAGGCTTGTCACGAGATTCAACTCCATTTGTTTGCTGAGGATATAGTCTACGTCCATTTTCTGCACCCTCGATGCTGAACAATGCCTGTAAAAATCGAAAGCATTGTAGAGTCGCATAGGAAAAACAAAAGATTATGAAAAATATTAGGATTTTTATTTACCAAAATATCATTGGGAGGTTTCGTAAGGGATGGTAAAACATAGACAGTCTCTGCAGGGAAGTCACCTTTGTCACCGGTTCTGTCACATATTCCTACACACCATCCTGAGTTCAGTACGGTTTCACCGGTACTCTCATCGTCCAGAATAATAAGATCTCCTTTTTGGAAGCTGACGAAAGAGGATCCTTCCCCAGGCGCCTTGTAATCCTGCAACGCTATAACGAACTTGCTACGTTTCTTAAGTCCTTCAAGGAAGTACACCACCAGGTCCCGGATATCTTCAGCGTTCGGGCTCTGGAACGTGAACTCCTCGCCACGCACCGTCGACAAACTGAATGTCTGCGTGAACATCTTGTTTGTTCTAAAATTAAATTAACGATGATGACATCATATAATAAGGAAATAAATGATATAAATATATTCGAACTCACTTTTGACTAGATACGGTGGTGATTTCGGGGAAGGACAACTCTAGAAGCACCTGTTCCTGATCGTCGACTACGTAGACACCGGTCCAATTAACAGCAATGATGACATCATTCTTGGGAAGATTTGGTCCAGAATTCCTGTAAGCTTCGTAAAACCTGGAGAAGAGTAGGGGCCACTTGAATTTAGCATATCCAACGATATCCTCCTTGACACGTAACGCAGGTACTTTTTCCTTTAAATAATAACTCTGCAAGAGAAATATGTTTCAATGAAAGTGGTTAAGATTATTCTAAATATCATTGAAGCTCGCTAAGAATGTAATCGCACCTTTCTGTAAGCTTGTAAAACGAGATGTCCCCATCTTTCAATGGCCTTGTCGATACCAGTGAGACAATAATCAGGAATATAATTTGGCAGAAGCGTAAAAAGTCGATCGACATTCATATCTATGTGATATTCGATATAATATTGTTGTGCAGCTATCATAGCAAGATCTTCCTCTTTGTCACAACGGTACTCTCCGAATTTAACACCACGCACTACCTGCTGATAAATTAAATTGGTAGCGACTTGGTCCTCCGTCGGTTCGTGCCATGGTGCAAATATTTCCTTCCTGAAAAACAATCTCCAAGGTGCGTTACGTTCCTGAGCTCCTTGTTCTTTAGCGTATTGTTCGCATTGTGAAATAGCATCCATAACGTGATCACCACCACTACCCAACGAGGAGACTTTGTCGAAGAGTGCAATATACAATGAAAAACCAAATTGATCTCTTAGTGAAATCTTATCAGATAACTGATTACATAATTCACGAGCAGTAGTGGCAGAATCCGCCAATAAGGTTTTTGTATTTCCATCCATGAACGTTATGGGAAGCATTATAGGCTTCTTAGACTTCGTTGCCTGAAGTTCCAACCAACTGGGTGGTTGATTTCTTGTACCGTTATTAAAGGTTCTCTTGAGTCTGTCCTCACAGTATGGCGCGTAACCAGGTGGACCTTCCCTGATGAAGGCACGTAGGTAGTTGACAAATTTTTCAGAAGGCGCAAAACACCCGACACAGAGTGAAAGTAGAATCCAACCACGAGCGTGCGAAGACTTTGACGGGTTGTTCGACAGTTGTTTGCAAATCTGACAATAAATTTCGTCTCGCAATTCTGCACGGAGTATGCCGTGACCAATTATGAAGTGGAGTTTCTCCAGGTTAGATGTCGGTCTCGCTTCCAACCAGGACTGGTAACTGTCTGCTGTGTATTCGTCTTCCTGAAGTTTCCGTCGGACGTCTTCGCCCAATTTGTTTTTTCGTTTTAATGTTAGCGACACCAATTTGTGCCGGATCGAGCGTGGTTTCTGCTTCAGGAAAGTTTCCTAAGACGAAAAACAACGGTCAGAGCGATGAGCCAAGGATCGTCATGGATGATACACTTGGTATAGTCGTAACAGTTTTTTTTTTAGAATCACGAATTGGTATCACGAGCCTTTTACTATACATATAATTATTACTCTGGATCCATTCTTTATCCATTCTATTACTTACAGGATCCATTCCCATCAATTGTGCTTCTTGGAATTCTTTGCTGCGTATAAAATTACGGCCCAGTGTAGCTGTCACTTTAGACATGACAGAAGTGGTGTCACGGTCCATTGTGTGATAACGGGGTTCCGGTAGGTCTCCTGTAAATCTAAGTATGGTGATCCAGAGTGCTTGTGCTGCCTATGATTTAAAAAGAAGATATTTTGATTTTCGTTGGTTCGCTAATTCATTTTTTTTCGTAATACTAACCAATTGATCCCCTTGAGTGTGCAAAGGAAGTAAAGGATGTTTAAGCGGCTTCCGAGAATATTGATGTGTTATGTTCCCTTGGAAATATGTGGCTGCGAATTTTTGAAACTTGAATTCTGAAAGATCCTCTTCGTCTTCTGAGGCCGTTTGCATTGGACTGATGATTTCTTGTTGATCCGCTTTTGGGGCCGGTAGATCCTGTTGGAGAATTGGTATAAAACTTGCTGCACCGAAAAATGTTTTCATTAACTGATTATCATACATTAAAGACTGATGTTTCCCTGGCGGGTGTTGGAGCTTCGCTACTAGAATCTGGTAGGAAATCAAACATCGCTTCTACCAGTTTACTATCGTCTACAGGTTCATCTTGCTTTTTAGCAGCATCGTTAATTAAATTCTTTTTGATTTCCATTCGTCGTCTATCCTCCAATTCCAATTCGATTTCTTTTCTTTCCAGCTCTTGCATTCTTTCCTATAAATTGATAAAACATCAATTAAACACAAGAAATTTTCAAATTGTTAAATGTTCTCAACAAATTCGATATACCCTATAATTCTGCTCAGCAATCTCTTTCGCTCTTTTATTTCCTTGATCCTTGAGTTCTCGTTCTTCTTTCTTTCTGAGTCGTAACGCTTCGATATGAAGACGATATTCGTATTTACTTTTCTTGTATCTTCGTTGAGCTATAAGCCGTCTGACGTGTGCCTGAATCTTCACTATGGCCCACATTTTTTTGCGATACATTCTTCGGACCAGGTGGCCCCTTGCACGTGCCTGAAGACCTACAATGTGCCCTCTAAGATGTCTAAATCTGTGCGAGAGAACACGAGAGCGTATTAAAGCTTGTAATCTCATATATCCGATTCTCATTCGTTTGTATCTCTGTCGCTGTGCAAAACCGCGCCAATATTTCTGAATTTTAATAGCGGCGGCGCGCATTCTTAAAAATCTTCTTCTGTAAACCCAACCACGAATATTGCGTTGAAGAATCAATATTTTTCTGGTAAGAACTCGATCTCGTTCTTGCTCGAGAAACAAATCATGCGCATCCTTCAAAAAAACTTTTGTGTGTCCCAATTGATAATCTGATCGGCCAAGAACAGAATGACAAATTCGCGATGTTGCAGCTCGACAATCAGTCTATAAGATGATATGTAAAATATATTTATCGAAATAAATCTCTATGAAGCAGTATGAAAAAAAAATTTCATACAAAAATCTTACTTTATGGGACGGCGGTATTCCTGTAATTAAAAATCTATATCTTTCTACAAACTCAGGGAAGGAATGTCTTATGGGATATCCTGCTCTACGAATTCTTATGGTTTCCATCATTCCAGAGTATCTAAGTTGACGGCAACAAAGTCCTCTATCGAACATCTGGAAATAAATTGCGAATGTTTAATTCTATATTTTTAAAAATTTTCCTTTATTTCTTCTTCGCTTACCATAGGTTTCTTGTATTCGTTCGGCTTTATACAACGAATGAAAAACGGCTGGCAGTTGCACAATGTCCTCATCAAGGAGTCCAAGGATTTTTTAAACTGGGTGGACAAAGTCGGCGCTCGTTTTCTTGTCTCAGATCCCATACTAATATCCTCAACGAAACAAGTTTGCAAGAACTTGTTGGCCGAGATATGAATTAACTGAAGCAGATCAGCACTAAAAGTGTCCCGATTCTTCTCCAAAAAGCTTCTCGTGTCATAGAACACGACGCCGGCAAAATGATTCAGGCCAAATGAGGTGTTTATGTCAGATTTTGGTTTTAAATAATTTCTATGAGTTCCATGAGTTTTGTGTATCTTAGCCAACATGGTTTGATCCGTGCCCTATTAAAATATTTAATAATACAATATAATAAAGTGAGGTACGAAGGTGTATAAAAAAAGTTAAATGGATGCTGAGATAATAAAACATACTTTTGGAAACTTTGATTCCTCGTCGATTAGCGCCATTATGTTTAGTTGTTTAATAGCTATTAGATCTAAAGCATCTTGATTGTCAACGAATTCAATGTGCTGCCAATTTATTCCCTCGTGATTATACTCCTCCTGTTCCAGTTTGAATATGTGCTGAACAAAAAATTGCTGTAAATTCTCGTTCGCGTAGTTGATGCAAAATTGCTCGAAGCTGTTGTGATTGAAATTTTCAAAACCAAAAATATCAAGGACTCCTATTGCACTGCGGGAGATATTTTTTGGCCTGTAAATTGCCTCGTTGATTTTTTTCACTATGTGAACAAATAATCGCCCATAAATTCCTTTGACGAACGCGTCACGAATGTCAACTGACTGATCTCTGGATAACGTTGATACCTACATTAAAGAGAAAATATTTTTTTTTATTTAAAAAATACTTAAAAAATTTATCAAAGTATCATTATTTCCCAAATTTTTTTTCACTAACCACTGTCTCGCCATGTGCAAAAATTGTTCTGCGCGTTAACGCATCCACCAGGGATTGTACAGGAACCCCTAACAAATGAGCAACCCTCTTTACGTTTGTCTGCTCTGGAATTTCAGTGGCGTCTAAATTATCTGAAAGAATACAAAAAATTAAATGATCATCACTAATCAATAAGTATTATGGATTATTTCAGTGCAGACGATTTGCATGCTTTAGCATACTTACCCACTACAGTAGCTTTGTACTTAATATTTCCCATATGCAACAGAGCCGCGAGCAATTTTAGAATTTCCCAAATTTCAGAGTCCGAAAACAGCAAGACTTTCATGGCCGAGCGTATGTCTGCAAATTCCGCAGCATCGTCCCTGCCCTCGCAGGTGATACTGCCACCCTTGTAAAAAAAATCTTCGTGAAGCACCTCGTGGATATTGTAAATGTGAAAAGTAAAAAAAATAACAAAAATACTAAAAATCCAAAATAAATAACGTCTCTTACTCCTGTAAGATATTTGTAATTAGAAGCGTCCTCCAATTCGAGTTTATGCTTTTCGTCTCTCGAGAGACCCGCGAGCATACAATAAAATACATGATAATTTCTCTCATCAAAACTTTGAGAAACGATACGTGACTTTTCCAACAGGTACTGTTCGATCTTAGCGCCCTCGATGACGCCATGCTCATTAAAATGTATATCAATGTATTTCCCAAATCGAGAGGAATTGTCATTTCTCACAGTCTTGGCATTGCCGAAGGCTAAAAGAAAAATTGAAGACTACAAATATAAGAAAAAAAAAAGCCCACTAAAGAATAAAAAAAAATTATTTCTCATTTACCCTCAAGGATAGGATTGGCTTCCAAAATTTGCTGTTCGATCCAGGAATGCTTTCCACTGATGGCGGCCAAATATTGTAAAATCAATTTAGTACTCTCCGTCTTTCCAGCACCACTCTCCCCACTATAAATATTTATTAAACATTAATTCTGAAAAAATCATATAAAAAAATTCCAAAATCCTCATAAAAAAAAAAACATACCTTATAACAATACATTGATCCTGTCCATAACGTTTCATGTGAGCATAACTATTATCCCCAATGGCAAATATATGAGGTGGCAACTCACCAATCTTACGATCTTTATAAAGCTTTATCTGCTCAGCAGTGTAAATCGGTAGGATCTGATACGGATTTACGGCGACGAGTATAGAACCCGTGTAGGTCTAGAATGGAACGATTACAATTTTTTTTTAAATTCAACAATTATCATACATAGCATATAAAAGCACACACGACGTAGAATCTTCCAAGAATCATAAAAGAGCGCAAGGACAAATCCTTCTAATTTCTCTTTTAAAAAGAAAGAAAGATAAAAAAAATAACACACTTACATAGATGAGATTCTCGTTGTAGCGTATCAAGAGGTTTCGCAAAATGCCAGCCTCGTGTAAATCCCCGAGGCTGATCATATCCTCCACTCCCTGCACCGAAGTTGCGTGCATGGCTTTTATTCTTCTTTCTGGCGTAAGCCATTGCTCCTGGGTAAACGGGGAATAAGAAACGTGAGAAAATTTTACATTTTTTTGACTTTTATACACACGTATATATCATTTTTATGATTCTCACCTTATTATCGTCGTCCTTAACTTGTATTCGTCTACCTTCCGCAGATATAACACGGGCACCTATAGCAACGTCAAATTCTCTTCCCGATATAGGTTCGATCCATATGTAATCCCCCTAAAAAAAAAAAACAAGGAATATATAAATTATCCTCTTTCCATACTTTCCCTACACCCAGCATCCAAGCTTCTCCTCTCTCAGCATTGTCGCGACGTCATTTTCTTGATTAAGAAAAATTACCTCTCACGCTCTCGGTATTCGCTGGTTGATATCTTTTTTCTAATTTCCTGCCCAGTACCTCTACAGTAAAATACCTACGTCTACACGTGGCATATCTGATAAACAACGAACCAGTACAATCAAATTCCACGGTAATAAATCTTTCGCCAGTTTTGAGGTTAGTTACGGAAATCATTGATATCTCATATGTTTCGAAAGATTCTCGATAATATTATTTCGAGGCGTCTTTTCTTCATTTCTTTAAAAGCTACGAATTTCACGCTGTCATCCAGGTGTTCTTTATTGACAAATTACATCACCGATGTTGCGTCGGAGTAACGAGTTAAGGATATATAAAGTACAACTGTGCTTACTCAATCCTTAAATATTTCTCGGTATACAGATATTGTTGATAATAACAATGGAAAAATGGAGCAACGATTACGTCATCGCGATAATCTTCCTCGAACAATGCATTTCTGTAAGTTTCTTAGAATATCCCAAGAAAAATAACCGTTCGCAACGTCGTACAGTTTGGTATAAAAATTCATGTGCAATAAGACAACAAGGAAAAAATATAACAAAATGAAAGACAATAGATTGCAAATAATTTAATGGCATTTATATACGTTTCGAGCGGTAAGCGTGAACTGTCCGAATACATCGAAATAAATATATATACAAGTGCTGCCGTTATATACACGTGCACACGTACGTAAAGGTATACACACACCGTGGATATTTGTACGTTCTAATTGTTCAGTTACCGGAACATCGGAAGAGCTCTTCCGCTCTTTGGTTCTAAGGGTCGAGTAATATTTCGACTTTCTTTCTATTCCGAACACATAACCCATAACGATTTACCAAGTTTAGAGGTTACGTACGGTAGTACGTAACAAGCTTGTTGTTTAATTAAATAAGATGACGAGGTGATGAAAAATAAGAATAGTCACGACAAGAAAACGGAAGTGTCATCGAATCGATGCTAAAGTTCAAATGAACATCGGTCATGCGTGTCCCGTTACGCTTCCAAGGATTTACTGTTTGCAATGGCGTAGAGCAGGTGTCACGGACTCCGGTTACGGCGTGGAATATGTTAATGACTGTCAGAACGTGTAAAGATAATTTAAAAATACAAGTCTACGCTGTTAGAAATCCAATGAAAAAGAGAATTCTTCGTGGCAATTGACAGCTCCGCTAACCTCAAAACGAAGGAGGTATGTTTTTTATGCATTAAGAATTGAAATGGTTCTTTTTCTAGAGTATATATTCTCTTATTTTACATTTTTGTAGTGGCACTACCGTGGACGTTGACGTATTGTATTATTTTCAAAGATATTATAGTCGGTAAGCAATAATATAACGTTCCTAACAAGGCATTTGGGTTACTGGGCTGGGTCCCTATTAGGCACGAGTCTTTCTTACGCGGCGAATGCTGACCAACCGGAAAAATGGGGAGGGAGAGCTAATTGAACCGGAAGTGAAAATCGATCGCTTCGTTTTACAAAGTTGGACAGTGATACAATTTACTTATTATTTCACATTCGTTGCTCTGTATACTCTTCCGCCTTGGTCGGTACGCATGGATTCATTAAGATAAGTCTATCCATTGCACGGAAATCCGGTGCACGAGTATTCTTCTCCACGTGAAAGAGAGTGGCGAAAGAAAAGAGATGCTATTATTTAATAATTGCGATGACTGTTTAAAAGATTTGAGACACGTGTGCGTAGGTTGTTCTGACATTAGTATAGAATAATAAAATTTATGGTCATATGTATTTAGCATATGCCGATAGGAATTTTGTAGTAAAATTTAAAAAAAAAAAAAAAGTTTTTAGTGGCATTCATTTTCTGAATTCTTTCTATAGGTTACTCACAGTCACGTATACACTGACACAAAGTTCTACAGTCGAGCCTAGGTGTTCCACTTACTTTTTCTACAAATTTCAAGGGATTAATTAAGCGAGGAAAAGTCTTACGACCTGCTTAGATTTCGTTCGCTAATTAGAAACGCTAGTCCATGTTTTCAATGAATGAAAGAACGGAATTGCAGGAATCGCAATCGGTATCCGCATTTACTAAAAAAGCTACACGCCGTATGAATTATGCAGTATGCACGTATGTAGATACACGGTAGACAGTAGACGGCTGAAGACTAGACGTTGTTCCGTATTTGTTTACGTTGCATTTTCACTCGTAACAGATTCCCGCGTTCGGGGAAAGCGACAGAGAGCGTCGAAGGTCTTAATGAGGATTTTCAAAGTAAGCGACTCACCCGAGTGACGATAACCATTTCTCAAAACGCGGTTGCCGGCCCGCCACCTGAAATAAAAATTAATACAAAAAATAACGTAGGATGTCACCACTGTCGCTCTGGCAGTAGAAGTAAAACGACAAAAATGCAAAAAGCCAGTAATCGTGCAGACACATAAAGAAATGGTAAACAAGGGGTAGGAAAGAAGAAAATCAGTGTGAAAATAGTAAGCAGCAAGCGCGCGTTCACTTAATTACCGGATCCATTGATTAAAATTGCATTCCGTCTCTCTATTATCAAGCGCGTTGAATACCACAGCTAAGAAGGTAATCTCTGACCGATCACCGTTATAGTAGGAGCAGCGTAAACCTGTTTGCAAAGTGGGTTAGGTTGTTTGTGCTACCAACCTCCGGCCTCGTGAAAAGAGGTACAGAGGGGGATGATAGAGAATACTGAGAGAAGTATGGCATTAAGGAGATCGATTTCTGACATTATTGATTCCTCGAAGAAGCCATGAAACTCGTTAATCGAATTAGTGACGAGCAGCGGTTGTAAGTTGTACAAAAATTGTCAGGAGTCTAGACTCTAGTAATTGGATAAAAATAGTAGTGAAATTATAAATAGAGAATTGTTCACGTAAAATAGAAAAATTATAACGGAATCAAGTGAAATTGTATGAAAAATTTTATATTTAAAGAAACTATTTAATAATAAATAGTTATGAATATGACAAAAGTTCTTGTACATTATTTCACATACTGTTTTGTACGATGCGATTGTGGATATACAAAAAAGATGATCTAAATGAAGACTTGAAAATTCACACGACTTTTCTTCTTGTCATATTCAGTGATAAGGCTGGTAAAAAAAAATATATTCGAACGAATGAGATTCCATTAATTCCAATAAAAAAATTTATTGGGTTTATCACTAATAGTCACATTAGACACGATCAATTAATTTATTCCGATTTTTTTTTGAATCGAAATACAAATGCCTGCGATTGCCCAGATTAAATCCGATTGTAATTGAATCGGATATCAATCGGTTTCTGTTCATTGTAATTGGATTTTTTAGGCAAAGAGTAGTCGCGTTTATCACAAGATCGTATATATAATCAAAGATGAAACGTTATCTGTATCGTTGACCCTATTACCGGTATAAATCAATGGTATCGCAATATTTATTTAGATTGCAGACCAAAAAAAGATACACAACACTATCCTGAACGAAATCCAAGCACCCTTACTTGTCTCTTTCAAAGAACAGGTTTTGATAATTATGCATTCTTTTTAGATCCGTCCGACAGATGATCTCGCAGCCAAGAATTTTCTTAGCTTCTCTTGACATTCCACGCTACTGACTGTACCATCAATATTCCTCGTTCTCGTCTATCGCGAAAGAGGAAAAGGAAAGGCGAAAAATATAAAGAATAATGAGAGTCTAAAGGAAACATATCCATGCGTGAATCTGAGCATGAAGTATCGCGTTGCGGAAAGGCGGGCATCGCACGGTTTCCCGTGAACTTGCCGTAGTCGCAGTCATTGACTTTGAAAATATCTGGAGAACGGTCAGTGGCAGAAGGCGTAATAGCAAGGTGAGGCTAGGCGAGTCTTTAACGGACGATCAAGCAACGCCCGTTGTCATGCACCGTAAAGACGATTCGATTTACAGCAATCTTAAAGAATTTCTCGAGAAAATCAGCGTGCGGACTTTGCACGTTTCGTAACACAAGCAAGAGAGCGTCGCGGGAATCCTTTAAGCAATCTTGAGTTTTCGCAAAACTCTGCCCACTACAGCACTGGAATATTCACGGAACGACAAGAACACCGGTTACTGGTTTTCCGCACTCACCAAGGTTAAGCGAGAGTCATGCAACACTTTTCATATCTCTTCGTTACGCAGATAGGTTTATGAAAAAAAAACCTGTCACATAAAAAGTTCTATGAAGGAAGCAAAAACGACACGTACACCTTCGCAGTCTAGACGTCGTACAGGTACGCTAGGTAGACTCTAGAGAGTAAAGGCGTACGAGGACGTACCTTGTGCGAGTAAGGAGAAAGACGGGCGGGCAGGAACGGCAGCAGCAACAGCAGCAGCAGGAACAGCTAAAAGTCCTAAGCTGGCTCCATATGAGACACACACTGCACTCGCTCAAAAGTCGATGGCCATGCCGATCGTTCGGATGGCCAGGAAAACTGTGTTGGCGCTCGAAACTCGAAAAAACTCGGTTCCAGCGGACGGGCCACGGTGACCGGCACATTAACACGTCCACTCGGGGAGTTTCGGTTCGGATCGGGCGTGCCAGGTAGAGGTGGTAGAAGAACGGCTAGAAACACAACGAGGTACCCAGGTACATACCTCTACCGTCCGGATAAAGGGATAGCCTGCGACTGGCGTCACTCTACTCTGCTTCACGCCACGCCGGATTCAATACCAAACCAATCCACTCCACTTGTCTCCTTCTCGAAACTTTAACCACTTCACTTCGGTCCGCTTTACTACGCGATATGAGATTCGAACCAGGTTTGGCTACTCCGTGTCGCACTTCTATTTAGATAACAGCAAATACATTGAGACACCTGTTACATACCTGTGATCATCCTGGATACTGTTGCTTCTTGGATAACCTGTTTTATCTAGTGAGTATAGAATGTCTTTGTAGTTACCGACATAGTTGTAATTCAATTTCATAAATATATCGATGATTTGTCTAGCGATTATGACAACTCTCGTTCAGTAATTGTTTTAATGCATTTTTGTTGTTGTAACTTTGGAACATGTTACATGAAAATGTTTACATTTAATGGGATGAGTGTGGGTCTTATATTACCGACTTTTGTTAAAGTGGCTACGACCTGTTGTATACGTGCAACGTGATACCGGTATGGATCATGTAACGCTATCTTATCTACTTGATTTGATATGTCTAACGTTGATTGTGTGAGTGTACATTCTTTTTTCTTTTAATGAGAACGATAGGTAGGCGTTTACAATGGAAAATATATTTTCGTCACTACCAAAACTCCGCACGCAGAGTATGACACAATATATTTAATCGCATAGATACTTGAATATTATCAAATTTGATCTTGTTAACAATCTTGAGTTAACACAAATATATTTAATAGCTTTTTTCCCTTTTTTTATACACAATTCATTAACTCTACAGTAACAAATACATTTACATCGATCCCGATTATTTTCTCACATTTTAAATTTGGTGAAGTATAGCGACATGGAGCTTATGAGGAAACTTGTAAGAGTCGAAATAATATATTTCGCAAAATTTGGTCGAATATGTGAAAAAAAAATAGGAAAAATAATAAATGAAGAAAACAATTCTACAGCTTCGTGTAGCAAATTATAATACAATTTGAAAATATTTAATGAAAATAAATCCATGTGTTCCATGCGCATTTGAACCCTTATGTACATGATAATCTCGAATTACGTATTAAAGAATAAAATATATATAATGTCGCTTTTATGTCCGAGTGAGAGAGATAAAAGGAAAGGGAAAATAAAGCGAAAATTAAGAGTGTCCGAGCCCCTTGACAATCGATAGCAACAAATTAACAGAGGCTACCGTGCACATATAATATATTAATCGGTTGACAAACTTTTTGATTAATTACTCTGTACCCACGGTAAAATCTCATACGATACAAAACAATTATTAAACGTAACGAATAAGACGACTAAGGCTTAGGAAACAATGTATCCGAGCTAGTCTCGTCATGTTGCCCAGAAGAGGACTGTCAACGATCGATGAGTCCCCAATAGCGAGGAATGATTAATAATTTTCATTAAACGATTCACAAGTCAACGATCGCTGACAGTATAAACAGGGTAACTGTATGATCAGTTCTACTACATTATTTGAAACAGTTAATTTGGCTTTGCAATGGCTATCCAGAGCACGAATGTTCCTGTGGACGTGCTTTTTGGTAAAATAAAGAGATACTTTCGATTCTCGTTTCGAAGTCCTTGAGGACGTAGGAACTTATCGAACTTCATATTGATGGTTAACACGTACACTTTTAAAATACCATATTACTATCCAGGAGAACGTTCGTGAAAATAATATAGTGAGAAACGAAACCAGACGGCACAGACCACTTGAGAAGTTTTTTATATAGAAAACTATGAACTACGGTTAGTAGAAGAACGGTGTCAGAAATATTTGAAAAATCAGTATTAATATATCCTTAATATTTATGTTATTGAGAAAAAAATAGCTTTACATTGGTACTGTACTTGTGATCATTGCTTTTTATTTAAAGGGACAAATGATTTGTCTCTGCGGGCATCTCCGCCTGGCTTCTCATTGATTTCTCATTTATTTAAAAAGCATTCTTACAGAGCACCTTTTCAAGATATATAAAGCCATGATCAGATGATCTTGATCTAATAAGACGATCACAAAAATAGGCTCTGAGTAGTGTATGCTCTTTTTTTCTTCGCTTTATACCATGATTATTCGACGTAAGCTACATCTTTCTTTCTCTGCACCATACGTTTCTTCTTGAAAGTTGAAAAATTAAGGTATAGCCTGGACAGGAGATGTCTCTATATGAAAAAGAGGGAGTATTTTATTGGAGGAGTGCAGTGATATCCCAAATTTTAATAACTCGATCCTGGCCGATGGTCAGCAACCTGCGTCGCGGTGCATCCAGGTCCATTCCAACGATGCTATGCTTCGCGTCGTGAAACGAGGCCAGAGAAGTTTGGCTTGAAATTCAAATTTACCGTAGTTCATATAAATTTTGTAATCTTCGCGTTTCGATGTTATAAATATTTAATGAGAACGTAGGAATTTTTTGTTTTGTCCAGCAGAGTAATAGGCTGTTGAATGACACTGGTGCGTTTTGGTTGAATAATATTCAATTTTTAATAAAAAAAATAGTACTTACTTTGCAGCTTTTAATTGAATGTGGCACGGATCACAAACACGAACTTCAAATTCAAATCCCATCGTAGGAATTGGAATGCGATGAGAGGTACACCTGGCACAAAGTGCATGACCACAGTTGCGACAATGATGTTGCCTTAAACCAAGTTGACGTTGATCCATCATGGCTTTAATATTCCAAAAGAAGGGGCGACCACATGACTGTAAAATGAATTACTATATTTCTGTTACTTCGTAATTCAATAATGATTAATACCTGGCATGTGTCAGACTCCTCCCAAACTGCAGTCTCTTTTCTGTTCGCAGTCATGTTCCAGCATACAATGACGCCATCTTCGCCACCAGATAAAAGAATTCGTTCATTATTTGCATAGCAAAGGGCTGTCACTTTGTTACTGAAAAAATGTTTAACTTAAATAAATTGATAATTATTATGCTATACAGACTAAGTTAAAATGCTTACTGGTGACCTTGCAGCTCGTACGCTGTGCCTTGGCGGCCTCCAATGTCCCAGACAATGATACTCTGATCAAAGCTTCCTGAAAACAGAAGCTGTTTCTCGGAATCCCAGGCTAAAGTTCGAATGCTACCACTGTGAGCTTTTAACGTTGTGATGAAAGTAACGCCAGTGCTGTCTAACTTAAGCATGGCAATCTGTCCGGAGTAGTCTCCAACAAAGGCATGTTTTGATTGGGCATCAAATCTGCACGTGTTAAGGTCAATCACAAAATGATAATAGTAATTTAGTATGTGCACATATATACAGATTTTTTGGAATAAGATTTCTCAAAAGGATACTGCAGTGCAGTGTACCAAGCATCTGTTTGAAAAGTGCCAAGCTTGCTGCCTGAATCGGTGCAATAAAATTGAAAAAGTTTATCCCTTGCAATGCTCAAAACCCATTCACAGTTAAGAGCAAAAATAATGCCAGTGACCCTAGCTTGATGAGCAAGATATTCACGCATTAGCGTCATACGATTATAATCTTGTTCGAGGATGAACTCCTATATAAAAGGAAATGTATATATTTAATATTTAAGAACAATATAAAATTAAATAGGATACATACATTTATGTTTCCATTTTCTAGACCAACAAAAAGTTGTCTGGTTTCGACACAATAGTCCATAGCCGTAACTCCTGCGACCATATATTGACACACACTAGGCCAATACTGACCAGAGTCACGTTTCAGCCAAACTCTGATTGTCCTGAAAACAAAGTCTCATTATAAATCCTGAAACGAATATTATGTGAAAAGTAAAAATATTATTGTTATCAATAAATAGAGCAGATAAAAAAAGTCCATCAAATAGAGGAGCAAAGAATTATTTTATCTCAACATATTCCTGTCTTGTTAAAGTTCTGATACATGGAATGGATCTATGGAATTAAGAGTATTCTCTTACTATTGTTCAGTGACACACCACACAACTTAAGCGCCTTAATATCTATAAAATCATCATTAATGTATAGATTTATAATAATATCATTTTTCACCTTAGTCACATTTCCACTATTGTCTAACATTAAGGCTTTTGACGAAATTGCGTCTCTAAGGTAATGTTCAAATATAAAAATACTGAACAGCGTACCTGTCATCACAAACGCTTATGACACCTTCCTCCCTTGGTATGATAACAGCAGCGTTAACATCGTCATTACAGCCTTCCAATTTCGACAGCAATATTGGTTTGCGACTAGTACTGAACCTGTCTGGATTTACGCCTGAGGCGGGCTTGATTTCTGCTGCCATTTTAACGGTACACGGCTACCCTGCGAATACGATAATCATTTGACAGTTGTCAGACTTCGATATCAATCCCAACGTCGTCCGCGTCAGTTCAATAATTTCCTGTATCAGCTTCTATAGTGCAATACATTCAAATTTCGTACAACTTTATATTTTGTCTAACTTGTCCAATTTCATTGGTAGGATTAACGGTTATCTTAAAAATGTTCTTAAATCCTTCCTTTCTTTCCTTATGGCTGACTCCTCCAATGAGGAGATGTGCCAGTATGTTCTTAAATCTGCCAAAGTATTTTCTGTCTAGTATATTGAACCATAGATATAGAAATATCGAGATGGAGCATAAACTGGTACCAGAGCAGAGATGAACGGGTAGCCTGGCGCGCAGAGATTCTCCACAACTTACAACTGAATCCCAGAGCAACCCTTAGAAAGAGGCCGCTTATCAGATATTGGCCAAATCTTTTTTTTTGTAATCTTAAATTCAAATGTACAGTGTAAGCTCGATAAGATTTACTAAGACACAAGCCAGCACCTTATGCCTGCCTGTGTTAAGGAGTGCAGCGATGCGGTGCTAGCTTCCATCATTATTTAACAATAGTTCCAAGCGGAACTATGGTCCCAACATTGAGTACTAGAGAGAATTATTCCGGAACTGTTTGAAACACAACCTGAAAACAACACTGAAAGCCAGCTCCTTATGCATACCTGCACTGAAGCATATGGTGCGACTAGTATCCTTAATAGATATTTTAACGATGTTACGTAGCAGAACTATTGTTAAAACCTATCAAGAACTATAGAAATTCTAGTTAAGTGCGTAGCATGTACAACGCTCAGACACCAATTTTTGAAGTTCTTCAAGAAAATATCGTTTGTACCTCTTTCTAATCAATCCCCTTCGAAAGAATATAGTCTCTAGTATATCTCTACTGCGTTCCATCGTTTGTACCTTCATAGTTTTCTTTTAAATTCAATATTAGTGCGTAGCAGGTACAGGGTCTTTGCATGTACTCATGTTTGTCAATGCTTTGTGTCCGCGACCAAAGTCTGTCGAAGGTCGGAAGCCGCTTCGCGGCCCTTTAAGCTCTTGCGTCACAGCAGTCCGCTGTTACTTCGGTATCTGTTAGCCGGACCTCCGCTGTCCGTAGGGGTTGGGCCCGATAGCGTGTATTTCGCACCCTAGCCTGCTTAATCCGGTCCATCGCGCTTGTCCCCGGTCAAGTGTCATGTCTGTAACAACCATTCCCTATCAGTATCCTCAAAATCATTTCTTTGAGGCTCTTCGCCTCGGGCCTTCAGCCCATTTCATGCCATCTCTTTCTATACTCTTTATCCTTTACCTTCATTTACGAAAAAAAAGTGTGACGTAGTGCGTCGCGAAACGTCTCTTTCTATACTTTTAATCCTTTACCTTCATTTACGAAAAAAAGTGTGACGTAATGAATTGATACATTTGAATAAGTGCATCACGAAGGCGTTATCTAAAATTCGCGGAAATTCGTGTATTGGTCTATTCGTAACAAGTGAAGAATTAGTCCGCAATCGAAAATACAGGAAGTGCAAAATAGTGGCCAAGGCTGGAATCTTCAAGTCGTCACCAAATTGGACCTCA